AGCTTTGACATTTCTTGTTTGAGGTGGGCATGCCTTCCTTCAAGCTCAAGGATCTTTCTTAACAGCTCCTCAGCTGATGCTGKTTGTTTGCTTTTCTCCATTTTCACACACTTTCAAACTAAATAAGAAACTATGATTTGTGGATCRAGAAATTGTTTCTTTAACTATCAAGTTACAATCTTGGAGGAAATTAAATCCAGATYAATAAAGTAACAAAAACCCAAGATTTCGACATACTGTGATTGCTTGATCAGTCAAATACATCATCTTTCAATCCATTTGTGTCACAAAAWTTTCATTTTTATAGAAGTGGAAACAGAAAGAAACACACACACCATGAAACACACACTATTACCTGACAAAAATGGAATTTTGTTTGTTGTTGCAGATGATCATGATAATGATAGAAGCCGACTGATATCACCAACCAACTAAATAACCTATCTTTCACCCTCTTTTATAGACAAAGATTTTTGGATGAATTAACCCTTGACCCATATCTTAGTTCTCTTTTTTCTTTTCTTTTTTACAAAAAGGAAAACACACACAGAGACACAATAAGTCCCAATTTTTAATCCATTTTCTGTGATGCAATATTATGTGTAGAAGTATCTTGAATGAAAAGAAATGACGAGTTGGTGTGCCTTGAAACGTCTACACACAAACCCCTCAATCTCTCGTGACTCACTCCTTGAATTTAATTATAATCTTTATTTCACACTCAAAATTTTTATTGTTACCTAAAAGTGGAGATTCACAAAGTATCAATATTTATTATAGAGTAAATTACATGATTATTGGTCCGTGTGATTTTTATTAGATATTTGGTTTTAATGATTAAATAATCAAAATGTCCCTGTTTAACAAAAAAAAAAAAAAATCTAAATCTAATTCTAATGAAGTTAGTCACAGAATCCCAATGAGTTATAAATTACAAATTACTTAGATGTAATCTATAGATATTTCAAAATAGGTAATCAATATGTTAAAACACATAAACTCTTTATTACATTTATACCATCAAAATCAATCATTTGGGTTCATATAATATATAATACCTGCTCTCAAGATTTATTTATTTTTATAAATTAAATAGATTTATATTTTCAAAATTTTATAATAAATCCTTTAAAACAAATTTAAATATTAATGACACATAGTATTTCAAAAATTATACCGCTTAAATTATTTTATAATACCTGATATCGATTTTCTCATAACCAATTTGTAGAAAAACTAAAACACGAGAATTCTTTTGGGTTAAAAGTGTAGAAAGTTAAAAGGTAAAGGACTTGTATGTACTTACTGTAAAATTGGAGGTACCAAATGTATATAGCCGATTTTGTTCATTTATGATCCCGAAGCTTCCATCAATCATTCCCAAAACTTTCCCCTTTTTATTCAAGTCCTACCCACCCAACTCGCATGCAAGTAGGGAGTTATTATCACGCGCCATTTTAAGAACGTATTTAAAAAATTATTTTCCCAAAGTAAATTTAGATCTCAAAAATAAAAATAAAAATAAAAAAAGGGTAGACTACAGATATTATTTTAGTATTATATATACTGATTAAAAAATTTAGCAATGAGATATGAGAGCAAAAGGTTCCTTAAAAACCTTTAAAATCCTTGTTTCCTTTGTTTTGAAAAATACAATTGAGATGTTGTAACTAAACATTATAATAAATCATCTAATTAACTAAAATCATTTTTTAAACCTTTTTCATATTTTTGTAAATGTTTTTGACTTTTTAAAGTTTATGCTGAGTAAATAAACAAAATGGAGGAATTAAAATTGGTGTCTAGATTCAAATTATTTAGGTACGTTTTGTTTTAGGTTCAAATTCCTTTCAAAAATCAATTATTGGTTTGGTTGGCTGCAAACCCAAAAAAACAATTTTAAAGCATAAGTAGACATTTAGATGTATTACTTAAAATTAAGTAAATTTAGCCTTATCATCCGGTTTAGGATCAACAAGTTCTAAACTAAATCCACATATCATTCAATTTTCAGTTACATTACTTTTTTGGTTTTTGTCACATATTGACTAATCATCCACGGGGGAATATATATGATATCATTAACTAATTTTATAACATAAAACACTAAAAAAAACTAAACCTAAACGACTTGACACTATATATATGTTTAAATATTACTAATTCGGATCATACTAAAGTAAGACGACAACTAAAATCAGAATGTGAATATCTTTTCAAGTACTCTTTTTTTCTTTTGATACTATATGTTTTGTGATTGAAGTAGAAAAAATATTTGTATACACCCCATCCACCATATACTTCTAAAAGCGGCGGTATATATGTATTAATTACGTTTAGTTTGATTTGGAGTTTATGCTTTTTATGTTAAAAGATTTCAAAAGAATTTCATATTCAAATCATATTAAAACTATGCACCTAAAACATGCATCATACTATTGAAACCAATTTCATAAAATAGTTATGCTAAGTATTGGATCATTGTCAAAAACACATGCACACACACACACACATATATATATATATATATATATATATATAATCATCATGTACCGAGAGCTTTGTGACTGATCTGTATAGTCGAGAACATATATATATATATATATATATATATATATTACTTGACAAAGAGAGACCTTTTGCATGCGCGACCATCCGCCAAAATCAAATTCTTCCGTGACAAAACCCTTTAAATTAACCAATGACACAAGAAACCACACAAGCATTTGTGTTGCAAAAATGCTCTTATTTCCTTCGTTCAGCTGCAAATTTCTTCTGCAAATCTTTGAGCTTATATAATAGTTCTTGGAAGGTTGGTCGGGCTTCTGCTTCACTGATGACCATTAAAAAACACATACTTCTCCGTAATTTATTTTAAAACATTTGAACGATAGATAAATATATAGTCATATATACATTTGCGTAAGAGAGACTAGGTGGCTAACCTGCACCAACAAGTTTGGATAAGAGAAGCCCACATTGGATCTACATCTTTTGGAATCTCTAGTTTCCGATTCATGAACCCAACTGCTCCAATAACCTGCAACATATCATCATATCTAAAATTGCAGTTTGCACATATATAATATGGTGTCGTTGGGTTGTTCCAAAGTTGAAGATAGAATTTGATACAAGTATAGTTGAGCATATTTAAGAAACCTGCATTGCATTAAGATTATCCCAAGGGATCTTTTGGGTGGTAAGTTCCCATAATACCACGCCATAGCTGTATACATCCGACCTAATTAAAGATTACCAACAAATATTACTGGATTCAAACATTCCTGAAAAAACAAACAAAAAAAGCAATCGGATAGGGTACGAGATTAATTACTTTTCATTTGCTTGCTCATTACGAAGAATTTCTGGAGCCATCCATTGAGGCTATACAAATTAAAGCAGAAGGCAGAAAATGAGCTATATATAAATTTTGTCTTTTGAAGCCAATTAGTATGAAGATTACGATGATAGTATTTCATTTGTGAAAGAAGATTGCGCGCAGTAGTAAGTACCGTTCCTTTCCCTGTCTTTGTTTTGAGGTACGTTTCATGCTTCACACGGGAGAGACCAAAGTCGCCAACCTAAAGCATCATATCATATTAATTAGTGAAAAAAGACTTGGATACAAGGCACACACTGCACGAGCATCAAGAGTAGTCTGAAAGCATACCTTGACGGTCCAATTCTTATCAACAAGAAGATTTGAAGACTTCAAATCACGGTGAACAATGGGCGGGTTGCATTGATGAAGATAATTCATGCCTCGTGCCTATGCATATGGGAGAATCACATTTAGTTTAAAATACATATAGACAAAAATTTGTGGGGATGGAAATTAGTTGAGGATAATTGGCATACGATATCCATGGCCATATGGAGACGACGTTTCCAATCTAATCGGGTTGTATTCCTCTGAAGTATCCGAAACAAACTTCCACTACATAACACAACTCGATGGTTTACATTATATGTGATAATTAATGCATAGAGGTTTTGTGGGTGCATGGAGTTAGGTTTGAAGAACCAACCGGGGAAGGAACTCTGTAACAATGCATAGATGCGGAGGTGAAGTTACAGCCCCCATGAACAACAAAATATTCGGGTGTCGAAGCCTTTTCATTAGTGATACCTTCACAAAACAAACAGAAAACCAAAAACCATTTAGATCCACTCTAAAACCATACATGGTTAAAGTGAAAAAGTTACCTCTTGTTTAAATGATAGTATCACATCATCTGAATATTCTTGATGCACAAATAACTTCATTGCAACATCCTGCATACATAATTTCACATTTTATATTTTTTCTTACCATCTGTTTCTTAGATGAAATGAAAACGTCTTCACAAGAGATATTAAGGAATGGAAGATGGAGAAGATACCGATCCATACCACAACGCATGATATACAGTCCCACACGAACCTGTAAATATATATAAGTAGTGAAACGTCAAATTTTGTTAAAATAGCCTTCAAATTGATAAAACTAGTTTGTATTACCTTGCCCAATCTGTTCTTTAGTTATCAAGTCTTCCCATAATATTTCATAATCTGTCTCCCTTTCCACTTTGATAATAGTATTACTTTTGCTGCTACTTGAGCTACTCGTGCTACTAACATGTAACGAAGAAAACCACAACCCAGAAGCGTCCATCTTATTACTCACCAATTGGGTATTTTCCCATGGTTGACAGTCTAATTTCACAGAAGCACCAGAACTTATTTGTAGACCAGGCTTATGTTCTTGATTGATATCTAAACGATGCCAACCAAAACGACCAATTCCAGCATCCAAAAACTCTACTTCTCTTTCTTTCCATGGCCACACAATTCCCCTTTTTCCCATCCATGCCTCTGCTTTGGAAGACAAAATCTTGCGTGTCCCAAGTTTGTTTTCACTCTCGTAACCAGAATCTATCGTATTATACTCCTCTTCTGTGCCTGTAGAATGAAATACTGCATATGGAGATGGAGCAATATGTCCCCTTGGGGTAAGGCTATTTTCAAGTGCATCCTTTGTATGATCATAAGTGGTAACGTCACTCACACCTTCATCATCTTTATAGTCATCGCGTTTCTTCATTTTCAACTTCACCTTTGAAGCCTGGTTACAAAATTCATTCAATGAATCTACACCCTTCTTGTTGGTTTCTGAATCCATTTTTACATAAAGGGATCTAAATTCTTACATGAGTTGTCTTGGATTTCTATTATACTTGTTGAACCAAGGCTAAATTTACAAACTAAAAACCATATATGATATCTTTGAAATAACTGTTTGTTGGTTCATTTGGACTTATATAAAGTGACCAAATTCTTACCTGGGTTGTCTTAAATTTCTGTTATATTCCTTTAACAAATGCTAGATTTACAAAATCACAACTAAATTTGATATCTTTTAGGCAATTCATTTACAGAATCTATCCATATAACCTTCTGTTGGTTCTTGAAACCAGATATGTATTGTCTTAAATTTCTACTAAACAGATGCTAAATATATGATATACTTACAAAATTCGATATCTTTGAGGCAATTGAAGGCAGTAGAGGTTGTTGAGAAGCAATATTCCTGAAGCTTACTTGATATGGATGTGCATCACTCGATACACATAGACCCCCAATTAATCTTCTATTTTCATCACGATATGGTGTATTGGTAGCGATAACCATAAATATTTCTCCACTCTTTTTTCTTATAGGAAACTCTCCAGACCAACTCTCTCCATTTAGTATTCGCATTAGAAGATAATCAGATAATACTGCATCTTTAGGTTCCACTAGAAGCTCCGTTGGAGTTTTCCCATAAGCTTCATCAGATGTAAAACCATAAAGATTTTCTGAAGCTCGGTTCCTGCATGATTCCAATTTACCAAATATATTGAAATTTTTGATGTATAATTTTATTGGAATCCAAAACATCAAGAATCCAGTATTAACAAGAAAAATAAGTAATCTATTGCTCACCAAAAGAATATCCGACCGTTGAGGTCGAATACATGCACAGCCTGACCCATTGACTGCAGTATGTTCCAATACCGAGTTTCGTTTAGCTTCATTACTAAAGGCTCGGAAGATCCATCATGAGTTCCTTTGATGACCGGCCATAAAGACGAAGTGAAGACACCTGCACCGGCTCTATCGCAGTGCCTGGATGCTGTTTGGTAGTCGAGTTTTGGCCGGTTACGGGAAAGCATGAGCTTTGACATTTCTTGTTTGAGGTGGGCATGACGTTCTTCCAGCTCCAGGATCTTTCTTAACAATTCTTCAGCTGATGCTGGTTTTTTGCTTTTCTCCATTTTCAGACACTTCCAAACAAAACCACAATTTTTGGATCAAGAAACTGGTTCTGTAAATGTCAAGTTACTACTTTTGGAGGAAACCCTAACCCATAAGCTAACGAAAGCCCAAGAATTTTCACAGAAATTAAAGACTTATTGTGATTGTTTGATCAGTCAGATTCATTCATCGTCTTTCAACCCATTTAATGTATGTCATAAGGTTTCCATTTTTATAAGATGATAGAAACACGTGTGCGATAGAAAGAGAAAAGAAAAAACAAACACCATTAAACAAGTATCATGAATTGCAGAATGAAAGAGAAATGATGAGTTTGTGTGCCTTGAAATCTACAGACAAACCCCTCAATCTCCCACTCAATGATTATTGATTCCGTCCTTGAATTTATATATTTCACGTTTATTTTCTTTTTTTGGAGTATTATAATTTTTCACACTCAATTTTTATTTTTGGAAAATAGGTCAGAAAGAAATTAGTAGGTAGGAGTTGGGTTTCCTATTTTTACCTAAAAGTGGACACCGACAAACTTTCAATTTTAAAAGCCAATAAATTAAAAACAAAAATAACAAGCGGAAATCACAGGTACCATGAAGCTAAGAAGGAGCAAATGAAAAGAAACCCAACAACTAAAAAAGGCTAAAGCACATAATTAAAGAAAAAGTCGATATTTGTTCTTTTTTATTCTATCAATTAAGTCGGTGCATCTAACTCTTTGTATCGATTCAAGATTTAGTTTTCATAGAATGGAATATATTTACTAACTTTGGCAAAACACAAGAACAAGATTATGCATCATGGCTTTATTTGTAAAGACATTATTAGAACATATTTGAATTTTAGACTCTTTCATCATAATTAGTATCACATTTTCTTATAAAAACTTGTAGAAAACAAGCAAGAATAATTAAAACATGGCTTTCTTAGTTTTCCATGAACACAATAATTTTTTTGATGGAATAAAGGGTCCATGAATTAGTCATGATTAAAGGTGGACCAAAAGTGTTGAAAGTTAAATGATCGATGATTCTAGAAAAGACGATGCCATCACTTCAATTTTGCAATTCTTATAGTCGCATTCTAGCTTGATATAATCGTTATCAATTATATGTAATAAGAATTAATATGAATACCATTACTCGGTTCATATTTATTGTATCCAAAAGCTTTTTAGATCATAATATGATCTATGGGTATATTTACATTTTTGCCCTTGTAGCGTTGAAACACATTCAAATTGTATTCCATGAGAAAAGTTGAACCATTTCACAAAGTAGAAAAGTTAAAGGACTTAAATTATAAAATTGGAGGTGGCAAATGAAAGAATGTATGTAGTGAAACCTTTGACTTGTATGGATACGTCTGTCTAAGACCATCCACATCCCTGCAATCCATTTACACTTTCAATTGTGTCACATCAGCTTTTGCAATTATCTTCCACACACCTGCAATTCACCTACAATACTTTCAACTGTGACACGTCACCTACACTTTCAAAAGCGGTCCCCACTACAATATTTATTAACTATTTTATAAATTATTTATATATACATTCTAATTATTTTTTAATTAATAACATGTTTTATTTTAATTCAATGTTAATTAAAACGATTAATATATGATATAATATGATATAATTTTATATATTAGATTATAATTTTATGTAATTATAAAATTTAATGTTTAAAATAATTTAATTTATTATATAATTAATGTAATTAAAAATATATTAACATTATTAATTTATAAAATTAATTGTTTTGTATAAAAATAATTTATTTAAATAATTAAAAGAAAAAAATAAAATTGAAGAGAAGAGAGTGGGCCATGTGGCTTGCAAATTGAGTTGCAAATTTTGCAAGTAATATCCTATGTGGCACAAAATTGCATTTTTGCAATTGCTTTTGCAATCCATTTGCAAGCCCCATGTGGGTGGCCTAAGATTCTGTTCCATCATCCATTCCCAATAACTTTGGTCCTATTCCCCACTCGCATGCAGTAGCGCGTTATCATCACTCACCATTCAACCATAAAAATAAAGGATAATGTAATGACACCTAGGTAAGAATGGAAGTTATAACCAAAATAATAATAATAATAATCTGTCTTTAAATCAATTATAATTGAAGATTAATATTAATAAGATATATCGAGATCAATTATTGTGAGAAGCTTAATTTATGGGATGGGGATGAGATTAAAGTGATCAAGGGTCCAAATCTCTTGTTATACTTCTCACCTTAGCTTCTATTCTCAAACGATTTTTTGTCTGCTATTTGCACCCCTTTTATGTCAAAATCAAGTCAATTCATGCAGGGACAAACCAAGTGTAGTGCATATAGTGGCATGGGTCACCGCCTCCATCGTAGTGTAAAAAATTATAGGGTTATGAAATATATCATCATATCAATTTGTTGTGTACCACCATATATTAGTTTGAAACTACAATGAGAACACAAGTTTCCCTTAGTATAGTTGATTTTCAAGGTTTTTTTTTCCACCCTAGACTCGAGGTCGAGTCCTATTAGTGTCAATTTTTAATTTTAAGTTTTAACTTTTAATTTCAGATTATTATGTTTCTAAAAATATTGCAATAGACGACTTGAATATAAGACCTCACATATGAAAAACAATGAACTAACTACCGGATCAATGTTAAATTTTGTGAAAAATATCTATATATTTGTTTCTTATGGTCAAATGGTGTCACCACTTGAAAAAAATTCTAGGTCCGTCTTTATATTCATGCAGGCTTGTTCCTGACGTTCTATAGACCCTGAACATATGTAAGATAAGAGGCCCTCGATAAGCATGGAAAAAGCTCAATGAATGTTTTTCATTAGTAATAAAATTGAATACAAGAATTGTTAATAACTCATGGAACAACGAAATTTATTTTTCTTTATTATAGATTAGAAGGGTACTCGTGCAATGCATCGAGACACATTTTCATTTCAATGTTTCGTTTTATTTTTTATCCATGTCGATATAATACGATTTTATGTGGTTTTAAGAAACCGATAATTTTTTATTTTTCAATAAAATATAAATTTAAAAATATCATATAAAATTTGCAAAAAATATATTTAACATTAATATCAAATTAACTATTTTTTTTTTTGTGTATTTTTTTAATTCAAATTTTTTATTATAATTTAATTTATTGTAACGAAGTAACTTAATTTAGGTTTGATAATATATATTTTTATAAAAACAATAATTAAATATTATGTTAGAACTCAATAATTATCTTAATTATATTTTAGATTTTTTATATTTAAAATGAGATGTTTATCCTATATTTGATTATGTTTATCCACAGTTAGTTACACAAATTCAAATAGAGCTTTAATAAGTTGTACTTATGCACATTTTACTTGTAATCTTGAATTTTAAATAATACACATCAATAAACAGTACTCCATGCATGAAAAATGATTTTTAAGAGTTTTTGTCAAATGTTTTATAATATAGTATAGATAAGAAAGTACTTAAGATTTACGTACTACTTATTAGGAAATTAACAACTAAGTGTATAATATTAAAAAATAAGGATGGTTTTGAAGTCCTAAAAATAAAGATATGAGTTTTACCATCTCCTATGATTGATAAGTTTCTTAGAAGGTAATAAATTTCTTAGGTTATAACTAGAAATATGTGTTATTTTGATAATAAAAAAAGAACTCATGTTGAAGAAGCAATGGAGAGAGTCAATTAGAGACCAATGATAGAGATGATTATTAAGGTTTTATAGACAATTACAGAAATGAGGATCAGTAAGAATGTGAGAAAAGATGATCTGTTGAGATCCAATAAGAATAAATAATGAATGAGACCTATAATTTGTGAGCTTAATGAATGGTTGCTTGAGCGCTTGGATAAATCATCAAACAATAGTACAAGATTATATGCATAAACAAAAATAGATTGCAATAGCCAACAAAAGTAATACGCAAACAACATAAGCAAATAAAAATAATCAATAGAAACAGAGGTAGATAAAAATATCCAACAAAACATATAGAAATAGCAAACACATGAGCTTAAAATTCTTATCCGTTGAATTGTTGAAACACCTAAAATAGTCAAGCATATAGAGATAAAAATAACAAATATCATTAGACTTTGATACCATATAAAAGATAAAAGAGAGGCAATAGTATATAACATACCGAATGACCAAGTAATTGTTTTTATTTTTCTTCTTGAATCCAAATAATTAATATACTTTTGGGGCCTTATTATCTACTAAATTCTTTTGACTCTTATTATAATGCTACAATTTTTTGGGTATATTTAATGTATTATTTTTTAGACTACTATTGTATATATACTAAGGAAAAAATTTGGGCTCCTAATATTTTTAGGTCCTGGGCAAGCGCCCGTGCCGCCCTCCCTTAGGGACGACCCTGAATTTATGTATTGGAAATGTAAAAAGTAGGTTTTAATGTCGATATCTGTGAGAAAGAAATTATGGATATATGTGCAATTAGACCATCCTCCGGTTTAACTTGGAATGAAAATGATAGGGAATCAGTATGGGATGAATTTTTGTTTCCCGGTTTAACTTGGAATTAAAAATTTGGACTTGTGAAGGAATGAACTCATTGTATTATATAAAACCAAATAATTTGTATATATTCATGGATCCTTCTATTAGAACATACTTCTCCTGAATCCATGGTTTTGTCTTTTTGTCGCAAAAAATGATGAATGAGTTTATGTTCTGTTTTCCTGATTCTTTCATGATCAGTTCCTTCTTAAACTCCTCCCTCCACCATTGTTGGTCTGCATTTTCTGTGGTTTTCGTTAGCCCTCAAAAAAGAATCGATGAACAAGAAATTGGTCGAGTCATATCTTTAACATACGATAGAAACAACCAGCTCGAGACAGGCGTCTTTGTATCATTTGGTCACATACCTTAATTTCTGCAAATCCAACAAAACAGAATTCAGGTGTCTTTAAGAAACCAAAACCAACATATGTTACTTGAGTTGTTGTTTCGAATTTAAAATTTTGGTTCTTAAACAGAACAGACGAATGTTGTAACTCTTACCTTTGATTTACATGACCAAAACACAGCACTATTCCTCCGAAAAAAATGACATCTTTCAGAGAAAGAAACCATGAGAAATGCTACCTCTTATTTCCTTCGTTCAGCTGCAAATCTCTTCTGCAAATCTTTAAGCTTATATAATATTTCTTGGAAGGTTGGTCGGGATTCTGCTTCACTGATGACCATTAAAAAAGGAAACTTCTCTATTTATTATTTTCAATACATTTAAACCATCTATATATATACACACATTTTCATTAGAGATGAATACTAGGTAGCTAACCTGCACCAACAACTTTGGATAAGAGAAGCCCACATGGGATCCACATCTTTTGGAATCTCTAGTCGTTGATTCATGAACCCAACAGCTCCAATTACCTGCAACATATACATCATATCTAAAATTGCAGTTTGCATATATATATATATATATATATATATATATATATATAATATGGTGTCATTGGGTTGTTCCAAAATTGAAGATGGAATTTGATATAAGTAGTTGAGAATAATTAAGAAACCTGCATTGCATTAAGATTATCCCAAGGGATCTTTTGGGTGGTAAGTTCCCACAATACCACGCCATAGCTGTATACATCCGACCTAATTAAAGATTACCAACAAATATTATACTGGATTCAAACATTCCTGAAAACAAAAAAAAGCAATCAGCTTTTGATTAATTACTTTTCATTTGCTTGCTCATTACGAAGAATTTCTGGAGCCATCCATTGAGGCTATAAAAGAAAACAGCAGAAGATGAGCCACAATAAAGATTGCAAGAAGTCTGTCAAGGCAGCATGCATGTTTGTGTTTTGAAGCCAAACTTATTTTCAAATTTAAGAACAGGATTATAATATTCTTTGTTGTAAAGGGTATCAACATAGGCATAGCCATCCAAAAGGCTTCTTCAATTTACAGTTACAGTATTTGGGAAGGAAAGAATTGAAGATTGCCGTACCGTTCCTTTCCCAGTCTTTGTTTTGGGGTACGTTTCATGCTTCACACGGGACAGACCAAAGTCACCAACCTATATATATATATATAACTAAAACATCATATTAACTACTAAAATAAAAAACTTGGATAGAAGATTTCGCAAAGTTGTCGCAAAGCATACCTTTACGTTCCAATTCTTATCCACAAGAAGATTTGAAGACTTCAAATCACGGTGAACAATGGGCGGGTTGCATTGATGAAGATAATTCATGCCTCGTGCCTATATGCATATAGGCCGAGTATCCAAATTATTAATTTAAACATGCATCACAGATAAAGAAAAAATTAATTAAGGATAATTAGCATGCATGGAACTTACGATATCCATGGCCATATGAAGACGACGTCTCCAATCTAATCGTGTTGTGTTTCTCTGAAGTATCCGAAACAAACTTCCACTACATAACACAAACTCCATTGACTATTCAAATTAGAGGTGACGATTAATTTTGTGGGTGGAGTTAGGATTGAAGAACCAACCGGGGAAGGAATTCTGTAACAATGCATAGATGCGGAGGTGAAATTACAGCCCCCATGAACAGCAAAATATTTGGGTGTCGAAGCCTTTTCATCAGATATACCTTCACAAAACAAACAGAAAACCATAAACCATTTACACCCGCTCTAAAATCAAACATGGTTAAAGAGAAAAAGTTACCTCTTGTTTAAATGATAGTATCACATCAACTGAATATTCTTGATGCACAAATAACTTCACTGCAACATCCTGCATGCATAAAATCCACATACATAAAGAATAGATGAAGATTGTTACAACTAAGACAAAATCAAAATCACAAGAGATACAATTAACCACGGAGGGAGAGATGGAGAACATACTGATCCATACCACAACCCATGATATACAGTCCCACACGAACCTGTAAAGTATATAAAAGTGAAACGTAAAATTAATATCAAAAGATTGCAAATAAATAGAAGAGAACCATCAAATGTAGCCTTCATATTAATATCATCAAGTTTCTATTACCTTGCCCAATCTTTTCTCTAGTTATCAAGTCCTCCCACAAGATTTCATAATCGCTCTCCCTTGCCATTTTCTTAATGGCATTACTTTTGATGCTCCTGCCACTACTTGAGCTACTCAAGCTACTAAAATGTATCGAAGAAAGCCACAACCCTGAAGCCTCTTGCTTATTATTATGCCCCAAGTTGCTACTTTCCCACATTTGACACTCTAATTTTGCACTACAACTCATTTGTGGACCAGGCTCGTGTTCTTCATCCACATCTAACCGATGCCAACCAAACAGACCAATTCTAGCATCAAAAGACTCTACTTCTCTTTCTTTCCATGGCCACACAAGTCCCTTTTTACCCATCCATGCCTGTGCTTTTGAGGACAAGATTTTGATCCTGGGTTTGTTTTCACTCTCGTCGCCAGAATCTATTGTAAGTTTTCCACTAAGATGCTCCTCTGTGCCTGCAGAACAAAATACTCCAAATGGAGATGGAGCAATATGGCCTCTCGGGGTGCTTGCCTCACTTTCAAGTGAATTATCTGTATAATCGGAGGCACCAACATAACTCAAATCTTCATGATCTGTGTACTTCTCTCCTTTCTTCATTTTCAACTTCACCTTTGAAGCCTGTTTAAGTTTTTCCAACATAACAAGATTCATTTAGTAAATCAACCACCTTTTTTGTTCGTTTTTTGAATCCATTTGTACGTAAAAGGGATCTAAATATATTCTTACACGGGTTGTCTTCAATTCCTATTACACACATTGAACCAAGGCTAAAGTTACAAACTACAAACTAAATTTGAATCTTTGAGGCAATTCATCTAGAAAATCTATGCATAACTTTTTTTGATTCCTAAAACCATTCAAGCGTGAAGTGATCTATATGTTTACATGTATTGTCTTAAATTCTATTAAAGTCGATTAACAAGGCTAGATGTAGGAAATACTTACCAAATTCGATATCTTTGAGGCAACTGAAGGCTGTAGAGGTTGTTGAGAATCAGGTCCAACTCTACTGGAAGCAATAACACTCAGCCCTGGCTCCGTTACTTGATATGGACGTGCATCACTTGATACACATATACCCCCAATTATTCTTCTATTTTCATCACGAAATGGCGTATTGGTAGCGATGACCATAAATCTTTCTCCTCTTTTATTCCTTATAGGAAACTGTCCAGACCAACTCTCTCCATTGAACGTTCGTTTTAGGATATAACCACCTAATATACTATCTTTAGGTTCCACTAGAAGCTCCATTGGAGTCTTCCCATAAGCTTCATCAGGCGTAAAACCATAAAGATTTTCTGCAGTTCGGCTCCTGCAGTTTTCCCATTAACCAAATATGTTGAAATTTGTTATGCATTTTATCTTCTTCAATCTCACTTGAAATACAGCACATAAAGAATCCAATAGAAATTAACACAATGATTAACACCATAAACTGCATGAACAAGAAAAATAACTAATAATGATTGGCTCACCAAAAGAATATCCGACAGTTGAGATCGAATACATGTATAGCCTGACCCATTGACTGCACTACATTCCAATACTGAGTTGCAGTTAGCTTCATTGCTAAAGGCTCAGAAACTCCATCATGAGTTCCTCCGACAACCGGCCACAAAGAATCTGAATTAGACCTTCGGTGGTCAGGTTTTGGCCGGTTACCGGAGAACATGAGTTTCGACATTTCTTGTTTGAGGTGAGCATGACGTTTTTCGAGCTCCAGGATCTTTCTTAACAGCTCCTCAGCTGATGGGGATTTTTTGCTTTTCTCCATGTTCACACACTTCTAAACAAATTTACACACTGTGATTTGTGGATCAAGGAATTGATTCTTTAAATCTCAAGATTCAGTTCTGAAGGAAACCCAAATCAATCTTGATCTTTAAATCTCAAGATTCAATTTTGAAGGAAACCCGGATCAATGAACTAACAAAAACCCAAGATTTCTCACAGAAAGACACACTGTGATTGTTTGATCAATCAGAGTGTAAATTGAAACAACAAGAAACACAAACACCATTAAACACACACTGCTTCACTTAGTTTGACTTGCAGCCATACACACAAGAGATATACGAAAACGTACAGTACCGTTTCTTCCCGTTTGGAAAAGCCCCAAATCAAGAAATTAATAGAGAAGTCATATGTTGGCTTGTAGCAAAAAAAACGCACATTACAACATCCATTTTCACAAACAAAAATGCATACTGTGATTTGTGGATCAATTAATTGCTTCCTCTTCAACCCTTTTCCCTCTATTGGAGGAATCCCAAATCAAGAAACCACAGAACCTCTTCCATACACAAAGGTTTTTAGATGAATTAACCCCTCTCTATCTTCTCTCTTAAACACACACACACACACACAAAATAATTCCCAAATTAATCCACTTTCTGTGATGAAATCTGTGTGGATGTATCTTCAACGGCAGAATCAGAGTGAAACGATGAGTTGGTGTGACTCGAAAGGTTTACAGAAACAAATTGAGTCATGATGTCTCAAAAACCTGTTTGTCATTGAATTTTTATACTATTTCATTTCTTCCCTATTCGGAGTAGTTACCTAAAAATAAAAGGTGGACGTTGACAAAGGTCCAATATTTGGTTTTTATTCCATCAATCAATTCGGTTAAAAATAACACTTTGTATTGGTTCAAGATTTTTAACCCCTCCTAAAACAAAGACTTTGGCCGACAGTTTCAAAATGGTCAGGGTTTGTGAAAAATGAATAATCGAATGTCAATCTCGCACCGTAAATTTATCTGATGTGTTTTTAGCCGCTATTCACTATCTTAGTGGAATCTTTTAAGTATTTTTGGTTGATCTCAAAGGATTCTTTTTTGTTTTTTTATTGATTTCAAGAGATTTTTTAGGTTTTTCTTATTGATATTTCTTGTATTTTCTAACATTATAGAACACCCCTCAAAGTGAGCAGGTCATGAAATCAAACTTTTTTCATTTTAATTTATATGAAATATCTTATCATATCCACCATCGTAGGTCATGAAAATATGAATTTTCTTCGAAATTGTGGATGGAGTTCATTATATATTCATGGAGTTTATGGAAGATGTAGGGGGCAAAAAGAAATAATTCCAAGAATTGGATGATGGTTTCTTGAAATGGAGGGTAGATATCTTGGTTAAAATATAAAAAGAGAATGAATATGGTTTATATATATATATATATATATATATATATATATATTTATATATATAATATATATATATATATATTTATATATATAATATATATATATATATATATATATATATATATATATATATAGTAATCCAAGTGGATGTTAGTTTTACTCGTAAATGGGAAAAGATTTGTGGGTACAAATTCCCACGCCCCCAATTCTTCTCATGCTTATGCCACCATTGGAATATATTTTTGACCAACAAGTCGATCGGTACCCTAAAAAACACACATATCACTCTCATAATAAATAATAAATAAATTCAATATACGAGAAAAAAAAAATTAATTCGATCTGTAATTACTTTTATTATTATAACCGAAAATTTAACAAATTTATGAAATTAATCAATGATTTATCGTTATTTACATGCTTAGGACTTAAGATTTTAATGTATCGAATACAAAATATACTGCTTTTTTGTATCATTAGTACGAGTATATAATTACATGTACAATGTTATAAATATGAATCATAATGACTTATTGTAAATGTTTCACAAGTGAATGACAAATTAAATCATTTACCGTTTGGAAAGAAAACTCCAAATTAATCATGTACAATTTATGTCACTTCTTCTTATCATAATATGATTTCAATTTGTTATTACATAATAAGAAATCATTTTTATCATATGTAACGTTAATATAATGTATACCATATATGTCATGTAGGAGTTCGATTAGGGCTTTTTATAGATACCTAGAAATTTACGTACTCGTTTCTATTTTATCAAGTTTAATATTAGCTCGAAACTTGTAATAAGGCAAGCTCGAGTTTATAAGAAAAACTTGATTTGATTTTTAATGGAATTTTTGGGTCATATATATATATAGTCGAAGTCATTGACGTATCAGATAATGTAGTTTATGTAGATAGGGTAGATATTTACTGTGCATCCAGTTCCGATGCATGTTGTTTAATGTGTCAGTCATTGACGTATCAAATGATATAAAATAAAGTAATTGTCTTGGAAATTGAATTTTGAAAAATCCCCTATAAATTAATTCAACAAAATACACATTTTTGTCATCTTTTTGTTTTTTAGTATACTATCATTCAATTAATTTGTTTATGTGGGTTAATAAGACAAAAAGATGCTCACTTTGTTACAAATATATAAATTATAGGGTTAAATTTGTAAAAACACGAAGAAAGTTGAAATGTGGAATTTTATGTGATTTACAAAAATAGTCCTTGTACTACTCTATTTATCAACACACACCTTTGATTGCTTAACAAGTACTTTTTGATCCTTGCATTCTCTCATAACTTTCATTGGCAGTGTTGCTCCATTTCTTTGTTACAATCACTTGAATGAAATCACTATGAACAATCGTCATAAATTTTGTACATTTTTTCTTCGCTTTAATAATATATATATATATATATATATATATATATAGAGAGAGAGAGAGAAAGTAACAGACCCAGAATTACACTAAAAAGATTAAACACCTCTATATGTAGAATGCAAAAAATAAAAAAGAGATGATTTCATTTGCTACATGTATGTATGGAAATTATTTATCATCATTCCTCTTAAGCATCATGTCATACAAAAAATTCGACGGTAACAAACGTCATGTTTAACAACCATACGTGATCTTGTTTTCAAAACTTCATTTGGTATGGTATATAAGCTATCTTAATTACAAAATAAACTAACTTTTTGAAAAACTGCTTCTTGGGTTTTTTCACTTTATATTTTTTCTCTAGGTAATTTTACATTGTCATCAGGGTTATCAATTAGTTTTAACTAAATGGGACTAGTTTGTTAGCTAGATTGTCCACTCACAGCTAATTGATTAGCCATCAATGGTTTTTAAGCTAGTTTTGCCAAACACAACCAAATTAAATATGGTTTATCGAAAAACTGACATAGGAATAAATGACACATACATATACTATCTGAAACGGTGCCAAGCAAACACCCACAACCCTTGGAATCGAAACTGCTCTTAAACTGACTCCTAGACGACCCAATAATTATAATTATAATTATAATGATGCCCAACAAACTGACCCAACAAATAAACTTAAGATTTTTACCAATTTAACTGATTTGTCATTATCTTTTAACATGAATTACAGTTTACTATGTGTATTTTTGTGTTTGACAACGAAAGAGAAGCACTCAATTCATCCATCCAGCAAGTCAGCCTTTTCATATTATCTCCAATTCTGCAAAAACACTCCTATTACTTCTTGATTTAAATGGCCTATTAATCAGTGTGTTTTTGTAGTAGTGTATGATTTAAGTATTTTGGCTTCAATTGGTTTTTACTAGCTAACTTTGAGTTCTAGATTTTATTACTTTTTTATGTGATCGATAATTAATTTGATCGATCAAGTAATCACTGTCTGAGAAAACATCTTGGTTGTTGTTATTTTATGATTTTGGTTTCCACAAAAACAAGGATTTAGATAAGTGTGCGTTTTGTGTGAAAATGGCCTATAACCCGCAGCTAGCTAGGGAGTTGTTAAAGAAGATCCAGAAGCTAGAAGAGGCCAATAGCCATCTCAAAGCTCATAATCCCCGGTGAGCATAAAAGACTCTGACCGGCAAAGGCCTCGACGGAGAACCGTTGGTGGGGTGTTTGAGGAGGGCAGCGTCGCCACCGCATCGGAGACCTTCAAGATAGCTTCTTCATCTTCTTTGAGAGAAATTCAGAGTGGATATGTTAGTAATTAACGGTAACGAAAGCAATCAAGTCAGCTCCCATTATGGGCGGTGGCGCCACCGTGGACGGTGGTGGAGTCGCTGGACATTTCACCGTGAAGCTAACAGAAACTCAGTATGTGAATATAATGCAGTCAATGGGTTCATATGTTCCATCTCAACAGCCAATTATGAGTTCCTATTTTTGCCATCTACTATTTGGTGGATTTTATCATATTGGTTCTAATCAATTGTTTGCGATATCATCATATAATTTTAAATGCCAAAAACCCATATTTCATTCTTGCAAGTGTTAGGAGTAATCAATCATAAACAACAATATGTTTATATTTATGTGAAGGAACTTGAAGAAAACTGAAATATTCTTATACAAATCTAAGAACCAAACATAAAAACAACAATTACAATCATATGAATCCGAAACCTTACTTGTAATCGCAGATTCCTCGTAAAAACGGAATAGATTGAGGCCTGCAACACGCAGTGGGCTAAGACAAAAATTTGCAGGTACTATAGGCGTTGTCTAGAGGATGAATCTAGCAAATTACAAATTGAAGATGTTTGATGATGGAAATTTTAGGGAGAAACCAGAGAGGTGTCCCTTCTAAATATATTAAGGAAAACCCATCATAAACACCCACACCCAAGCTTCTATATAATTCATTTAATACTCAAGGATTGGTGTTAAGTAAGTGGGTTCATTTTCCATGAGGCTTCTACGTGGGACAAAGTTTCTTACATATAAGCCAAGTTCCAACAGCAAGAACAATGACCTGTTTGCAACAAAAAACAAAACTTGCATTTGAATTTGTTGGTTAATCGTTATTGTGCAGGAACCAAATGGCACAAAACCTTTATGGTTACACTGTTGCCGAAGCCCTAGGAAAGACTGATCCTGACATTATTATAGGACCTAAATATTCGGCATTAGCTGCTCTTATCATGCGACGAGGAACAAAGGGTGAGAGCTGGTCTGGGGAGTTTCCTGTTAGGAATAAAAGATGGAAAAGGTTTACCGTTATCACTACTGTCTCACCATCTCGAGATGAAAGTGGAAGAATCGATGGTGATATATGTGTGTCAACTGATGCTCGATCATTTCAAGAAGTAAGGCCACCGTCAAGCTAGCATTAGTGCACCTTGGAGGACTTCTTCCACTGAATTTGGGTTTGATCCTCAACAACCGGCAATTGCCTCAAAGATATCCAATTTGGTTAATTGTACAAGTATTTGTCACCACAATTAGTTGTACAGCAGAATAAATGATTCTAAGTGTCTTAATCCTTTCAAGAGTTATGTAAGTAAATAGATAAATGAGCCAAAAAGCAGCAGCATATGCATAGTTTATTTGGTTTAAAGAACAAAATGGGGATTTCAAATCATTTTATGTAAGAACAAATGCTATCCAAAAAATGCAACAAATTTTATGGATGATGTGATTATATTTAATTTTGAAAGAACAAAGATCCTTTTCAGGTCTTTCATGAGGCATCATGCTTGGATTTTGTTTTTATTAGGTTTCTTGTTATGGTCCAAAAAGACAAAGTGATTGATCAGAGGACGATGATGTCTTTTTGTAGACAAACTGTGTGCAACTTCACAGACATATTGTTTAATCAAATAATCTGAAAGTCTTGTCATTTTGTGTAGAATTGGTTCAATCAATGGTGTATTCCTTTGGGAATCCTAGAATTGGGGCTTAAGTAAAAAAATCTCTTGAATCTTGATTCACAGTTCGTCGTGTAAAAATGGAGATCAACACCCAGAAGAAAGGAAGACCACTGGTTGAGGAGCTCTTCAAGAGAATTCAGGACCTAGAAGACGGTCATGCTCGCCTGAAACAAAAGATGTTGAACCTCATGATCTCTGGTGACTGGCAAACGTCTAATTTGGTACCTCGCCAGAGTACAGTCGCTGGGGCCACGGCTGCTCTTTCCTCTTTTCGGTATTGTCTGTCGTTGATGAGAGGAATTTTTAGGGTTGGTGTTGATTATAGTAATGATGACCATAGTAACAGTTCTGTTAAGCATGATGGAGCTGCCTGGGATGGTGGCAGAGTGACTCCGTATTCAGCTGTCAAGCTAACAGAAGCTCAGTATTTCAATATATTGCAGTCAATTGATGAGCCAATCCATATATCCAATGACAAGGATTGCATAATCTACAGGCTAGTCAATCATTCAAATCCAATGAGTTCTTTGTTTCTTTATAATATTTGGGATTCTGTTGATTTTGTCATAAAACCTGAATCTTGCTTTTGTGATTTGCCTTATGATGGGTTTTTTTTTTTTTTTGGGAGGGTGTCCCAGGCTTTGGCTCGACTAATCCCAGCAAATTCTAACTGCAAAAAATCAACTCTAATAAACTTAGTGCCAACAATTGTTGTGTACGTCTGGAATAGAACTCTGGGCAGTTGCATTATTATGATGGTTTAGGGGTTTTTAGATTATGATAATATCATTACTATGATGTGCTATGGTGTTAGTATCTCATTCTTGATGTGGGTTTCTTTAATTGAGATTGGAGAAGATGATGTATTTTATATTTTAAACTTTTTTGACTGTTTTATTAATTGGAATTGAGCAGAAACCGAGCTTGGGAAAACTTCTATGGTTATACTGCTGCTGAAACTCATGGAAAAGCTATTACTGATTTTGTAATCGAACCTGAAGATGCCTCGATAGCTGTGGATATTCTACAAGAAATGATGAAGGGGGAGAGTTGGAGTGGGGAGTTTCCTGTTAGGAATAAGCGAGGGGAAAGGTTTCTTGTTTTTGGTTCCAATAAACCCTTTCATGATGAAAATGGAACAATCATTGGGATTATATGTGTATCGACTGCTCCACACCCATATCAAGAATTGAGGCCAGGGCCAAGTGTTTCTGCACCTGAAAGGATTGCTTCCAAGAAACATGGACTTGATCCTCAACAACCTCTTCAAAATGCAATTGCCTCAAAGATTTCAGATTTGGTTAATATTTTCTGTTACCCTTTTGCTTGTTTCATTAATTTAGCTAGTTGTTAAACTAGTATAAATAGAAGTTAAAGTGATTAGCATGGAACCATTGTATTTGAGTGCTTGTGGGTTGTTTCTAAACAACCCACATGGTTGTAGAAATGGCCTGCTGGGATGATAACCAGGCGTCATGAGTTGAGATCTTACTCTTAGTGAATTAGTATCAATTAGGGGACTAAAAAAATTCACCTCCCTGTTTGTGGTGTACGAGCCTTTGGAAAAGAACGTAGTTGCATAAATGGAATGAAAAAACACCCAATTGGCAGAAAATAGTGAGCACAATGCTGTAGTTGCCAACAAATGAGGTTTTGTCGACCAAATGTTGTGTTTCTTTTGCTGTTTTTATTCAAGTCGAGTGTTCTTTTAGTATTTTTCACAACTATGTTGGTTGCCTGCTATAATGGTTCGAAATGCTGATGACTTGTACCAAATTAAGATAACCCATATGGGAATAATCTTATTGCATTAATTTTGGAGTATTATGTTGTTAGAGGGTGTCTAATGATTGTTGAAAACACCAAAACAGGCTTCCAAGGTCAAGTCAAAAATAAAGACAAGAAAGAACAACATCGATCATGATGGCAGGAGTGAAGACAATCATTATTCCAATATTACCCCTTCTGATTATAAACAGCAATCTCAATCTGAAATATTTTCTTCCATAGGCAATGACTTTATTGGGGAACCCACAACAGATTCTAGTGGCGGAAATGAAAACAGACCCAGAATCCGTAAAGTTTTATCTTTAAAAGCAGACGCATGGATGGGTAGAAAGGGAATTTTATGGCCATGGAAAAGAAATGGAAGTGAAGAAGATACTTGTGATAAAAGAACAGTTCGGTTTGGTTGGCCTTGGTTACATTATGATCAGAAACAAGAGCCTGGTCCACGAATGAGTTATCGTGCATCTATGAAAGTAGAGAATGAAGTGTATGAAAGTGCAAGTGCTAGTAATACTAATGAGGCTTCGGGATCACGATTTTCTTCCTCTGATGCAAGTAGCTTGGGGAGCACCAACACTAATTCCGTTACTAAAGTTGACAACTTGGATGCCGAGATCGTGTGGGATGACTTGATAATCAAAGAACAAATTGGGCAAGGTATAGCAACTTGCATTTGATTTCGTGTATTGACATCTTTCAATTCTTTTTCCAAGTTATTTTTCTTTTCTGTTAATACCATAAAGCTTCTCCTGGTCTTCAGAAAAATCGTGTTCACGGATAGATAATACTCGCACATTTCCAAAAAAGTCCATCTTTGGATAATATTACGTATTTCTTGGTTCTCATCGTTACAAAAGAGATGATGATGTTGATTTGATTATCCTCATTTTTCTAAAGGCTTGTTTGTTACAGCTTAATGAGACTCGCAACTTATTCGGTTGGCTGTAGATGACTGTTTGGTAGTGACTTATTCAGTAAGCTTCTTGGGGAGTTTTATACACAAAGTCAAGTTTTTTCCAAACTTGTCACTCCTAATTAAAAAAATAGGCTCCTTCAATTTATGGAAATAACAAAAACTTTCTCAATCCATATAGACAGATTAATCCAGACATATATCTTTATTCATACAAGACTTAATATAAACCAAACAAACAACCCGTTAGATATTTGACATATAGGCTACAGAGTTTGTATTAATATTTGGAAAAATTTCCCCATTAAATAGAAAAGGCACGCTCCATCCCATAAAAGTTGTTATAGTTTCCATTTTGGAATGTCTGATGAAATTTGCAACATTTTTCGTTTTTGAAAACATCAAGGGCTACAATTAACCATTTTGCAATTACAAAAATTTGATGGTTTTGATTTTGGTCCACAAGATTCCTTTATCTTGTTATTTTAAACATTTGACTATTAGGCAAACTTCAGTATGGTGAAACTATGTGGGTTTTTTATCATATTTTTGTTGTGCATATTTTCACAGGTTCATGTGGGACCGTATATCATGCATTGTGGGACGGATCAGTATGTTTTTCATCTTCCCCGTTCCTAATATATCTTGTTAAACAAAGTCTCATGTACAATTGAAAATAAGTATCGTTCAAAATGACAACAAAAGTATGAAACATTCACGTTATGCAGGATGTTGCCGTCAAGGTATTTCCCACGCAAGAATACCCCGATGACGTGATACTATCCTTTAGAAAGGAGGTTATATTTTTCGTCAATGTCTCAATTCAACCATGTTAGTTTTTGTATGAATGTGTTTAAGATCACCGGGCCAATGTTTCAAAATGCTACCTTTTCTTTCTGATTTTGTTTCAACTTTTTCTGTATTTCGAATTTGGAAAGTCAAACGTTTGACCTTTGAATGTTATATGATTATGTTGTTTAATTGAAGGTATGCCTCATGAAAAGGCTTCGTCATCCAAATATTCTGCTCTTTATGGGTGTCATAACTTCACCTCATCATCTATGCATTGTTACAGAGTTCCTTCCACGGTTGGTTTTCTAATCCCTCCATCTACATTGTTTCTTGAAAATTGCAACGTCCATCGATCAGTTTAGTGGAAGTGTTTCACTATAACGAATATCTTAAATACCCTTAAACAAACAGTGGAATCTTGTGGACAAAACCAGCATCACCAAATCCTGAAAAGGAGATATGAGATTGTGCATAACTTTGATGAGCTAAATGTTTTCCTTTTCTTTCTATGCAGTGGAAGTTTGCTCCGGTTACTTCAGCGAAAAACAACCAAATTACATTGGAGACGCCGTGTTCATATGGCTATGGATATCGTAAGTACCCTGCTAATTAATGATCATCTTATTAACAATTGTTTTTAACTAATGTACTTAGCTTTTTGATGCAAACTAAAGGGCTGTTTGGTTGGTATTTCATTAAGTCCTGTATGGATAAAGTTGTTTGTGTAGATTAATCTGTCTGTATAGATTGTGAAGGTTTTTGTACGGGAAGGTTTTTTCATAGATGAAGGAGCGTGTCTTTTAATTGGGGGGAGCACGTTTGGAAAAAACTTGGTTTTTGGCATTAAACTCCCCTCAGGAACTTACTGAATAAGTCACTTTCTATATCATTAAGCCACTATCAAACAGTCATGTATAGCTGACTTAATAAGCTGTGAGCCCGATGAAGCTCATTAATTAAGCTGCTAACAAACAAGCCCTCAACCATCCTTCTATCTCAAGTACCAAAAAACACTATAGTTTGCAAGATTGAACAATTTCTAGACAATTTGTGGAAATATAAATGGAAAAGCAACCATTTAATTTGCAAAAAATTTGTCTGAAGTCGCTCATTCTTGCAAAGTTGTAGGTTTCTTTTAACATTTTAGCAAATGTTGGTTAGCGAATGTTGGTTTCTTTGTGAATGAAAGCTGAGTACGCGCGATGGTCTAGAAAGCCAAGAACTCCTGTATATTTTTTGACATGGGGATTCATTACCTTTTGGCATGGATATTTTTGGCTTGATCGCGAGTTGTTTATTTCTAAAATTCTTTGATCAACACACCAACTGAATTCTTTTTTGTTTCTATAGGCACGAGGCATGAATTTTCTTCATCATTGTCACCCACCTATCGTTCACCTTGATTTAAGGTCTTCGAACCTTCTTGTTGACAAGAACTGGACCGTGAAGGTGTGTTTATTTTGTATAATTTTTGTGAACTTTGGTCACTTTTCTCTTCCAAGAGCAATACAAAATAAATGATCTTGAATTGCTTACAATTGAATAGGTTGGCGACTTTGGTCTCTCCCGCATCAAGCATGAAACTTACTTGACAACAAAGACAAGGATTGGAACGGTACTACTATTTTTTTAACGCTCCTGATGTCTTAAATCAAACGAGCCTTTTTGCTTTTAAATTAAGTAAAAACCTTTTATTTTCCAAGCAATATTTACATTCTCTTGTGGTTGTTTTGTTAGCCTCAATGGATGGCTCCAGAGATTCTTCGTAACGAGCAAGCAAATGAGAAGTAAGCCTCTATCTTGTTCTTTTCATATTTTGGTAAAATAGATCGACATGGGTTGGGTTGGGTTGTTATTTGGTGATCAGAGTCGATATATAAATGTGAGTTTTAAAGTGAATTATGCTTGGAGATGTGTAGGTCTGATGTATATAGCTATGGTGTGGTATTGTGGGAAATTACCACTGAAAAGATCCCTTGGGATAATCTAAACTCAATGCAGGTATGCTTTAATTTCCTTCCATCTCCTTATATTATATATAGGGCTAGATTTAGGAGAAAACCGCAAAGAAATGAAAAACCGAGAAACGTCTGATAACCATTCATCTAGACGGTATGCACAAGTGCATACAAGTAACCTGTAAGCAATCTTTCCGATATGCACATTTGCATAACATGCACACGTGCATAGAAACCAGAAAACATCTTCAATTACTTGTATGCACATGTGCATACCGTACAAATGAACGATTATTAGGGTGTTCCTCAGTTTTTCATTTTTTTTGCGTGGAACCTCCCTCCTCTCTCTCTCTCTCTCTCTCTCTCTCTCTATATATATATATATATATATATATATACACTATTACTGTTTGGAACAGTGTCAAACTTTGACTTGTAAGGTCAAACACAACTCTTTCAATGCATTTTTGTAACTTTTTTAAAGTTCTTAAAATAACTTTTGTTAAAAAGTTAGAATTTGATATCTAGCTTGAAGCTGAAGTATTGTTTGTTTGACTTGGAAAGTCAATGGGGGAAGAGAGTACAAAATGGAAGCAATATATCATGATTTTGAGCTTTATATGCAACAGTTACGATACTTGCAGGTTATTGAAGCTGTAGGATTCATGAATCAACGGCTAGAGATTCCAGAAGGCGTCGATCCACAATGGGGATCTCTTATCGAAAGCTGTTGCTCCAGGTTTAGAAATTTCTCCTACCTACTTAACTTGATTTCTTTCTTCTCCTCAAAGGGCTCCGTAATTTATTTTTTATTGTTTGGTCAGTGAAGCTGAATCCCGGCCAACGTTTCAGGAAATACTAACGAAGCTCAAGGATTTGCAGAAGAAGTTGGCGATTGAATTTCAGGGCCTCCTTCGGAGGCGTCAAAAAGGATTGTAAATATGCATGCTTTGATTCTGATACGCAATCCTTTGAAATCTTTAATTTTGGATCAAAGGGGTTAATCCAGTTGCTTGTTGGTTTGTACACTTATATGCCATGAATGATGGCAAGACTTCTGCATGAAACAATCAACATTCTTGAACCGGTAAATATTTCAAGAATGTTGACACAAATACTTGTACAGCAGAATGAAGTGTTCAAAATGTCTTAATCCTTTCAAGACTTGTTATTTAGGATTGAATTTTTTATTTCCATTTATATATATTATATAAGTAGATAGATATACCAGCATATATACTGCCAACTGCTTGTAATTTTTGTATAACTTACGGGTCCACGTAATTCTCTGTCTTTCTCCAAGAAGAAGCGACAGTTAATGGTCATCCATGGCGGTGAACAACTGCGGGATTCCACGAGGAACTCGACGAAGAAGAGAGGCTTCAAAGAGCGTCAGAGTGGTTATTGTCGTGCGAAATGACTTGGATCCAGACTGTGGTAGCCAACCTCATGCATTTTCCGGGGGGAGACTTATAGATAACCGGAGGCCCATTTGGGTGGCGAATCAAAGCTTATGACTGGCATGGTTAGCAAACAAAAAATAACAACTTGTTTGTTGAGTATGCATAGTTCATTTAGTTTAAAGAACAAGATGGGGATTTCAAAATGGAAGCCCAAATCATTTTATGTATGAACAAATGCTATCCAAAAAATGCAACGATTTTTATACTTACCCGTTAACAATTATCCTGAGGCATTTGTTTGATTGATTGTAGCATCTGTCAAATGGTTTTTTTTGGGCCTTTCCTTGACAAGAATATAAATTTAGCATTTTGTTATGGATGACGTGATTATATTTAATTTTCCAAAGCACAAATATCTTTTTGTTTTTATTATGTTTCTTTTGAATGGAAATTTTATGGCCCAAAAACACAAACTGATGATCAGATGATGATGTGATGCTGTTTTTTTGTAGACAAACTGTGTCTGTGTGCAACTTCACAGACAAATTGTTTAATCAAATAATCTGAAAGTTTGTCATTTTGTGTAAAATTGGTGCAATCAGTGGTTTATTGATTTGGGAATCCCAGAATTTTGGTTTTCAAATAACAAATCTCATGAATCTTGATTCACTGTTCATCAAGTGAAAATGGAGATCAACACCCAGATGAAAGAAAGACCACCGGTTGACAAGCTGTTCAAGAGAATTCAGGACCTAGAAGACGGCCATGCTAGCCTAAAACAAAAGATGTTGAACCTCATGACCTCTGGTGACCGGCATTGTCCGGCATTGATGAGAGGAACTCATAGTGTTGGTGTTGATGATAGTAATGATGACGATAGTAACAGTTCCTTTAAGCACGATGGAGCTGTCTCGGGTGGTGGCAGAGTGACTCTGTATTCAGCTGTCAAGCTAACAGAAGCTCAGTATTTCAATATATTGCAGTCAATTGATGAGCCAATCCATATAGCCAATGCCAACGCTCGCGTAATCTACAGGCTAGTCGATCATTCAAATCCAATGAGTTCTTTGTTGCTTCATAATATTTGGGCAGGGGGTTCATTATGAAAAGATCATTATTATAATGTGCTATTATTGTGTTGGTATTTGATTCTTGATATTTGTGGGTTTCTTCAGTTCAGATCGGAATTATAGATTTTTAACATCTTTTGACTGTTTTGTTAATTGGAATTGCACAGAAACCGGGCTTGGGAAAACTTCTATGGTTATACTGCTGCTGAAACTCTGGGAAAAGCTATTACCGACCTTGTAATCGAACCTAAAGATGTCTCAATAGCTTTGGATGTTCTACGAGAAATGATGAAGGGGGAGAGCTGGAGTGGGGAGTTTCCTGTTAGGAATAAGCGAGGGGAAAGGTTTCTCGTTTTTGGTTCCAATAGACCCTTTCATGATGAAAATGGAACAATCATTGGGATTATATGTGTATCGACTGCTCCACGCCCGTATCAAGAATCGAGTGTTGCTCCGGCCGAGAGGATTGCTTCCAAGAAACATGGACTTAATACTCAACAAGGTTTTCAAACTGCAATCGCCTCAAAGATTTCAGATTCAGTTAATATTTCCTGTTACCCTTTTGCCTGTTTTGCTGTTTTTATTCAAGTCAAGTGTTTAGGTCCCGTTTGGTTTGCAAGAATGGAAAGGATTTGGAATTCCAATCCGTGTTTGATTTGCAAGATTGCTAGGATTTCTTTGAAATCCATCAAACATACGGTCTGGAGATCCAATGGGATGGTTGGAATTTCAAGGGATTTCCAAGGATTTGTATATTAATAACTTTTGTTTTCCAATTAGCAATTAGCAATTAGCAATTAACAATAAGGTAATTTAATTATTTTTATATTTATTTGTGGTTTGTTTTTACAAATTATTTATAAACAATGGAATTCAATTCCATTCCAAATCCTAAAAACAAACACCACCAAACATTCTAAATTCTTCCAAACCCAGATCCCTCCAATTTCAAATCCTTCCACGAAATCCAAACCCAAGCGAGCCGTTGGTATTTTCTTTTTCCAACTATGTTGGTTGCCAGCTATAATGGTTGATGAGTTGTACCAAATTAAGATAACCCATGCTGATGGATATTAGTACCTTAAATCACCTCATGTTTCAGTGCCTTCACCTAAATAAATATGACCTCTTTACTAGTTATCTACAAGAGCTAAATGGATGGGTAAATATGGAATTGCATGGCCATGGAAAGGAAATGGAAGAGGAGGTCATTTTTGTTGGCATTGGTTATATGATGATCAAGAAGATGAGTATGGTCTACAATCGAGTTCTGGTCAACCACGGGTAAATACAAATTATGCTGCTGGTAATGATAATAAGGCTTTAGGGACGTGGTCTTCTTCGTTTTATAATGCAGACCTGGACAATTGCAGCAAAGATTATGAAATCAAATGGGAGGACTTGATGATTAAAGAACAGATCGGGCGAGGTAAAAGATGTAGCATATCATTTAATTCTTAGGGTCAAGTTCAAGAAAAACCGCAAAAAAATGAATAACACCCTTAACCATTGATCTGTACGGTACGGTATGCACAAGTGCATACAAGTAACTTGTAAGTAATTCTTCAGGAAACATTTTCAATTACTTGTATACACACCGTACAAATGAAGGGTTAATATTTCAGGTCTATTTTTCTGCAATATTTGATGTTTTACGGTTTAGATATATTTTTTGCAGGTTCAAGTGGGACTGTATATCATGCAGTGTGGTATGGATCAGTATGTTTCCACCTCTCCCCCGGTATCTCCTGTTATAGTTTGTAATAGCGTATTATATCTATATCTAATGTCTTGTGTTATGCAGGATGTTGCTCTCAAATTATTTTCCAAACAAGAATACTCGCATGATTTGATCCTATCCTTTAGGCAGGAGGTAACTTTTCTTCCACACAAATTATGGAATAATCATAATTTGACTATCAATCTTGATTACGGGCATGTTTGTTAACAGCTTAATGACCTTAATATTATTCGGTCAGCTATACATAATTGTTTATAATGGGTTAATAATATGGAAAGTGACTTGTACAGTAAGCTTTTAGGGGGGCTTTATGCAGAAAGTCAGGTTTTTTCCAAACTTGTCCCTCCCAATTAAAGAACTCGCTCTTTCCATCTATGAAAAAATCATCCTAAACAAAAACCTTCTCAATTTATTGGTCAGATTAATCCACACTGACTGACAACTTTATTCATATAAGATTTGATGAAAAACCAACCAAACAGCCCCTAATGTTGCATAAAGATATGTGAATGCTAATTATAGAAGGTTGTCCAAATGGTCATGTAATTATTTTGTTTACATTTTGAAGGTATCTCTCATGAAAAGGCTTCGGCATCCAAATATTTTGCTCTTCATGGGTACTGTGATTTCGTCTCAGCGTCTATGCATTGTTACCGAGTTCCTTCACCGGTTAGTCATCCAATCTCCCAAACTTTCGGAACTGATTTGGGCTATTTATTTACAAAATTAACCTTTACTTAATTTGTTGGAATTATATATATATTACCATGTCCTATTCACATGTGATGAGCTTCATTGAGTTCTTTTAATTTTCATGAAGTGGAAGTTTGTTCCAGTTACTTCACCAGAATACTACAGGCAGATTAGATTGGAGGCGTCGTGTTCATATGGCCATGGATATAGTAAGTACCATGCTAAGATCATTTCATTAAAAATAGCAGAAGTTTATAATATGATCGATGAGATAATTTATTTAGCGCCACCTTATTCTTTGTTCTTGTACAGGCACGAGGCATGAATTATCTTCATCGTTGCCACCCGTTCACCATCCACTGTGATTTGAAGTCTTCAAATCTTCTTGTGGATAAGAACTGGAGAGTGAAGGTATGCTTCACCGATTGATGCTTGTGTTTGAGAGTGTTTTGTCTAATGTTATAAATTCGCTTGGGAAAATGGTACAAAATTTACCTCCACAAGTAACGATTCCTCAACTTGCGGGGGCGGTTAAAATATAAAATAAAAAAAGCATTCCTCACTTGCGGGAGAGGGTTATGATGACTGAAAATGAAACTAGTAAGTTCCTAAGGCAATAACTGAATCCGTTTCTTTCCCTCTACTTGTGGCAAGGCCATTCCATTTGTGGTTTTTTTTTTAAATGCACCCTTGGCAAGTTGCGGTTTGTAAAATGGTAAAACTAGAACAAAAATGGCTAAGAGGTAAATTTGGTCGGCCAAAACGGCTATTTATGCCATTTTCCCAATTCGCTAGCTCACTGATAATGATGTTGAATTGCTTACAATTGAATTAGGTTGGTGGCTTTGATCTATGCTGTATCAAGCATCAAACTTACCTGGCAGCAAAGAAAGGGAAAGCAGATGAAAAGTAAATGGATCTATAAGGCATTGCTTGATAGAGATGAATGTTTAGTTTTATAGAATCAGGTTCGGTGGGAAATCGTAAAAAAATAAAAACGGAATAGTAATCGTTCATCTAGACGGTATATACATGTACATACAACTAATTTACAAACAATTTGTCTAGTATCCACATGTGCATAACATGCAAAAAAAAGCTTTAATTATTTGTATGCACATGTGTATGCCATCCAGATGAATCATTTTCAAGGCACTCCTTAGTTTTTCATTTTTAAGGATTTCTCCCAAAACCTCCCTCTAGTTTTTCATATTTTAAAATGTTTCTTGGTTGTTTGTAGGTCTGATGTATACAGTTACGGTGTGGTACTTCAGGAAATGACCACAGAGAAGATCTCTTGGGATGGTGTAAACTCAACACAGGTTTTCTTCCATTTAACATTGTCAAATTTTTTTCCCAAAGTCAATGTTACCACTTATACGAGGCAAAAGGGTTTAAAAGGAAAGAACAATGGTTTTGGAACATCGATGATACTTGTAGGTTATGGAAGCTGTAGGGTTGATGAATCAACGACTAGATATTCCAGAAGATGTGGATAAACGGTGGGCTTCTCTTGTTAAAAGCTGTTTGTGCAGGTTCAATCTTGATGATCAAACCTATTCCTAGTTTAGTAAGCGTTTGGAGTAAATAGTCATTTTATTTGTTTGCATGTATAGAAAGATGCAAGTATCAGATGTTGGCTAACATTCTTTTTTGGTTTTTTTAATGTTCAGTGAACCAGATTCCAGACCAACATTCCGAGAAATACTAGATGACCTAAAAGTCCTGCAGAAAAAGTTGCCACCAAAACAACTTCTCTCTTAGGTCTTTACCACCATAAACTTGAAGGATTGCTTCCTATCAACTGTTTGCTGTCGAAAATGTGGATTGTTGTAGAAGCAAGTTTCTTTTGGTTTGGTGTAGAGAAGTAAGGAACAGCAACAAAGAAAAATTAGATTCTGTTGGCACAACAGAGCAAAAACTAGTTGGATCTTTTACAAGTAAAAGATTTCTTGACAAATTGGACCATGTTTTTTGGAAATAATATGCAAGATCGAATTCAGCTGTCAAACTTATCGTATCCATGGTTGAGACCCAATTAAAAATCATGGAATTCATAGGTTGCCCACGTGAAGCAGGTGTCTAATTGCAGCAACTGCATCTCCCTTGTGTTCTCGTAGTGTTCTTTCAGCCACCTTCTTATCCAACTGTAATAACAAAACAACTGTTGAATTCGACACCTCTTGTCCAAGATCACTAACTTTTTGCACTTTTATAAAGAAAAAAACGGTTTGTTAACACAGAGAAGATCAATGCAACAGTTCAAAAGGTTAATCACAAAATCAAGCTAAAAACAATGAACCCAGTAGCAATGTGAGGGAATGCGATAGTTATGCAAAGAGACAGACCTCTAGTTCGTTTGCAATTATGTCGACTTCAGCAGAATTGATCTTAACAGCAGCCAACTCTTTCTCCCTTTAAAAAGCAATCATAAACTAGCATCAATACAAGTTAAACATATTGCAACTTACATGAATGGCCATATATCACAGATACATACAGGTTAAATATACACAAATGCCAAAAAAGATCAAAAGAACACCACACTACTTCTTTCAAAAGAGGGAAACAAAGTACTTTTTACCTTAGTTAGGCTTTTGTCCCATAGTTAGGGTTATCATTACAAGTAATCCACTTCTCAGTTCATCACATTGTTGTTAATTATATTCCAAACGTATGTGTCGGGGAAGAAATCCTTTAAATGGACCAAGTAGCCTCTAACGTAGTGCACCAAAAGTAATTGTTGCAAATGATCATGGGGTAGATAAAGTATTCCTTCATTTTTCATCATTAAATTGGTTAAATACATAGTCACATGGTTCAACAGTTGGTAACCCTCATAACTATGTAATTAGTTTAATTTCAGAAGAGAAACGAAAGTTACTCCTTTTCATTGACATGTAAACCCTATAAATTAGGTTCCCAATAATTTGATTCTGGCACATGCATAAGATACATACGCAATTGCTAGGGAGGATGAGAGCATCTATGAAGAGGCTTAAGGGAACATCATATCAGGATTCCCAATATCTTAAAATACATGGCATCAAGAAGAAACATTCTACATGGATATGTTGCTCATGTGGACTCGTAAGTAGACCCCCATGATGCTCTTTGTTAGGCAATGATACCAATCACACACGTACACGAGGAACTATTAAGTATGCTCACTATTGTTAGTATACCAAATAGACTCTTTTTATTTTTGTTGGTTAAGCAGTTTTAGATTCAAGTAATTAGGTCATTCCAAAAAAGCATTATTGAAGCCTACTCCTTTTCACCCTTATATGTTTGTTGTCATTATACCTTAAAACACACTTAACAATATAAATCTTTGATCCCCTTTCTATCCCTCCCCCCTCCAAAAAAAACACACTGGAATATGTACTCTATGTATCAATCCTACAGCAGGTGTGATGTATGACATACATCAAATGCATATACCTAGAACATGGACAACTCCCTTGCAAAAATCTTCCAAATATTTTCTCCCACAAAAAGACATTTTCGTGCTTATAAATGTAAAACAACATATTCCATCTTTAAGATGTTTTACCCCATTGGAACACTTCAAAAAACAGATGAAAACATACACGTCAAACACAAAGAGACTTAAAATTCACATGGATTAAAAACAGGATCCACATGGTCATGGAACAGGAATAATTCAGTAACCGTCAAACTTGCCACTAAGTTGTTTGGTCAAATTTTCATAACAAGTAAAAGCATTAACAGTTTTTGGGACAAGAATTCGCAAACCTCAATCTCATAGCATTCAAATCAGCTTCTTTTGATGCAGCTATCGAAGCCATAGCCTATCCGATACAAATAAACAACACGATCTAATTAGCCAATTGAAACAATCAATCCACTATGAAATAACAAAATAAACAATAATCTACACGCAAAACCTCTTGAACACGAGTCGAATCGAGCTGACGATCTTCGACATGGTCAGTGAGCTTGTCGAGTGCTTTGCTCTGTTGCTGCAAGTCCTTCGAGTCTTCTACCCTCTCTATTCCTTCGTCTCCCCCCTCCATTGTCGCCTTTACTCCTTCAAACGCAAAAATCTGTAAATCGCCAAATTGTTTGCCCTAAAATTTCAACTTTCCGGTTTCGTTCGGATTTGAACCTCTACTCTAGGAATCCATTTTACTGTTGAGCCGAGGCCCAGAATCCTGGCCCAATATCTCGATCGAGTGAACCGGAAACTACATTAAACGGTCCGGCTCTAGATTCAGTACCTTTTACAAATTGACCGGTTTTTTTGTGAATCTCGGGTATGTTTTTCTAAAATAAATAATTAAAAATTTAATTTTTAAAAAAAAATTATATTCAACTCCAACATTTTAACATAAATTATATTATTATAATATTCTTTAATTTTATTATCTCAATACATTTATTAAAAAAAAAAACTTTATATAAAATAATAATAATTCAATATCATTGGTGGAATTGAATAAAATAATCATTTTTCTTTATTTACATAAAATTTTAGAGAATTCTCAAAACTTGAATTTTTTTTATGTTTTCTCTGTTTTAGATAACATTATTGAGAACATGTTATAGCAATACAAAAAACAAAACTTTCATTTTATCTATTTTAGAGCACTTGTTAGAGATGCTCTAAAGTTTTGGTCACAAATTTTGTTGAATAGTGAAAAATATTTATTAAAATAAAAAAGGGAGGACGCATAAAGTCACTATCCTTAATGTTATGTATGTTTTTTACTTTAACGGTCAGTTATATCTATTTTTAAAGCTAAATTTGAAAAGAACGTATTTTGATGTTTGATTACATATATAATCAAATGAATGTTTGATTACATATATAATCAAATGATATATAACCATGGCCCGAGTGTTTTCTACAAAGATATGGAGGTTTTATATACATAAGTTGTATATAATAAACCATTATTTACAAAATAAACACACAAGGAAAATCCATAAAATCTTCTTCTTCTTGTTATACTACAAGTTTTTTGTGGAAACATGGTCCGTTATCAACCATTTTTTGCCATCAATGAAATCTGTAGACAGGAAAGGTGCAACTTCTTCGTCACTCAATTTCTTCAACCATTTAGCACGATTATTGGTAGCAGACCCCGGCCCATGGCAATCATATTCAGCATGGTATATATTTCTGAAAAATAATCAAGGACCATAAAAACATAATCAATCGAATTAATGGTGTAAAATGAAAAGGAGGTGAAATGGAAGATGGTTACTTACTCTAAATTGCCATTGTGGTTCCATTTGCTCCATCCTTCGGGCCTTACACTCTTAGACATATAAGTGTTAACAAAAACGACTCGAGAATGGTCTCCTTTTGGTCTACCTAAGAAAGCATGTCCGGTGCCGTAAATTTTCCCTCTAATAAACACAAATCCTGTGTTTTCATTTGTACTTGTTCGCGAATGAGCCGTCACCGATCCTAGAATCTCCATTCGATTATCCATAATCACAAGGATTTCACAATCCTAAAAACACATAACCAATCAATATTACATGTCCCAACTAGAGGTGGGGCCCAAATGGATATTGATTTATATAGTAGTAAACTAAACGTACATGAAAGATGGATCGGGCACGACCAAAAATGACATCAATGGAGCCTTGGATGTAGCATCCATCATAGTAATGTCTACCTTTGTTATCAAGAAGGGTGTTGTGATTGCTATAAAATCCACAACTGTAGAATGCAACCTTATCTGCACCCACATATGCTGCTACTGACTGGTTATGTGAGGTATTAGCAATCCCTGTAGGTGCGTCATTCTGTACCCAAATTAAAGTTAAGCATCTTATGCATTAGCAGCTTGTGCGTCCTCATTTTCTATGCATAAAAAGGTTGTACTATAGGTAAAATCAAGGAAAATGAACCTTGAAGCTAATGCCATAGGCAACAAAATAAGGAGCTTCAACTTTGAAGGTGGAAGATTCATAGTTGTTTTCAGAGCTTTGTGACCAAACAATTGATGTTTTAGTCCTCCCACTTCCCTTCAAGAAAATACGAGGTTTTTCTCTAGGAATTCTCACTTTTTCCCTACATTATAAAAATTCCACAAAGTTAATATGTATGTTATATCTAATAAAATTATTTAAAAGACATAATTAATTAGTAATCACCTGTAAACTCCTTCTTTGACATGTATAATGACCCAATTTGGATTTCCAAGCGGAATAGAATCAATGGCATCTTGTACAGACATAAAGTCTTCAGATCCATGAATGTCAACTATAATGGTTCGGTTTGATCCGATTTTTGAAGTCAATAAAGTCGCATCAACCCTTGTTGGCTTTAGCGTCAAAACACCTTTGTCAGCAACACCATCCAAAAAATACATAGAGGTGATAAGCATGAACACATATGCAACGTTAATCATCTTAAACATGATCAATGGCAATCGAAACATATATGTCAAAATTGTAGGATAAGAGGAAAGAAATATTGGGTTTTGAAGGTGTTAAAAAGAAGGGCTTTTTTTCTTCTCCTCCAACAATTCTTGTGTGGTTTACATTTGATATTGGTTTTTCCTTTTCCATTTTTAAAATTAAACGATGTTTTTATGTGTGGTTAAAAGGACTTCTTTCCAAGAATTTCAACTATCAAAAGGATTCATGCTTGACGGATAAAACAAGATATATCGGAAAAATATATAGAATGGTTGACGAATGAAAAATATGTAACAAACATTAATTCAAGATGTATATCTTTAAGAAAAGAAGAAGATTGTATACGTGGATTTAGGGATATCTAACATAGTTCGGTTCAGTACCAGTAAATCAAATTAAAGATATCAAATTTTAAAACATCTTTTATTTTCTTATTTTTAAGCATCCATCCTCCAAAAGTCACTCTCTTTTTTATAACCCTATTTCCAACCTCCCAACGAGTGGATAAATCTATACTTTGACAAGTTATATAAATCATGAGTTAAGTAACCAATTATGATTTAATTGGTATTTATAAATAAAAATCATACTCAGTTGTAATTTGTCCTCGAATTTAAGAAGGAAAATAACGAAACGAAAGGGAAGGAAAACAAAGAGAGAATTTCTACAAAAACTAAAAAAAGTGTCTAACATATGCTAAACGTGGCTATTAAATAAGAATATATAAAAAAATTGATTTAAAATCAAATTTAATGTAGCATTATAGGGTTTTAAACAAGGGTTGAGTCCCGTTAAGAATCAAAGTTATGATGAGAATTGTAAGAATAAATCTTCACATTGGATCAATCTTAATTGAAGACTTCCATTAGATCAATACTAATGAAAAACACCAGATCAATTCTTTTCTAAAGCATAATTTATGGGTTAGTTTGAGATTAAAAATGTTCAAATCTTTTTTTTTTCAAACAATGTTTTACATTTTTCATCTTAACTTATATTCGTACATCATCCTTGGTATTTAAACAAACTGACTAATCTATACATATTTAGTTAAATAAGTATGGAAATTATGTAACAACCAAATAAATGAATAAAATTCGATGATTTTGTTATTTCACTTTTCCCACCAAATCTCCAATTAATTAAAAAGTTTCCCCACAAGTAACAATTTGATTCTAGTGGTCCAACTCATTGATCCCCCATGTGTACTCATCCATCTCCTCATAGTTCCCAATTTCTTCATTAAATAATAATTTGTTTTAATAATAAATATATAGATTTAGGGTTGACTTTACGTAAGACCAACATCTTTTTGTGAGATGCATGAGACTATTTTTTTTACACTTAACTTCATAAAAAAATGTTGTGGAGGTAAAAAAAAATTTGAACCTTCACAACAAAAACAGTGTGAAGGTTACCTTCATAGCGTTTTGTTGTAAAGTTTCAAATGTAAAAAAATGGTTCTACAGGTCTCACGAAAACAAGTTTGTCTCATATGCAAGTCTATAGATTTGAATATAGACATGACTAAAAAATTATTAACCAATATTAAATTTAGAGTAAATTACCTGTTTTGTCCCTGTTGTTTGGTAAAAATTACAGATATTGTTTATGTGGTTTTGAAATTGATGATATCCGTCCCTGTGGTTGGTATCCAATGAACCTAATTCCTACCTTTAATTATGATGAACTGAAATACTAATGAATTGTAAAGTACATGGACGAAAGGTGAGCCTTCAAATCTCACAAAAGATGAGGAGGATGAGTGAGTTTGTTTATTTTTTTGCCATATATAAATATTACATACTTCAAAAAAAGAAACAACAATAATGAATTGTAAACCATATGAATGAAAATCGTAGTATCACAATCACATGAACGGGAAGTAATAGTTTTCAACAAACCAAATGGACGAAAAACGTAATTCACTTTTAAAGGACTACTACCTTGTTACATAGATAATTTGATTAAATTATTCGTCTTTTTTCACTTTATAACCACTTTTGTTCATGATAATATTATACAAGTGTCACTTCACTTGTGCAATTTACAAAATATATTTTGTATGACAAGTAACAATTATGAAATACCTACATATGAATATGATAGAGGAGTGGGTGGTCCATAACTTGTATACCTCAACATTCGTCCTCGCTCTTGACTCTACTACCTATTTTATTTTATAAATGTTACTTTTACAACTTGCAAAGTCACCTATCAATTATTACTTCTTAGAAAATATATTTTACAAGTTAAAATAATTTATTCATGACTATAAAGCGTAAGGATAAGTGCAAATTTATTGACTATTTCGGTATACGTATCGTAAGCTAATGCCCGATAAGCGCTTACCTATAAAAGTCAACACTATAATTTACTTTAAGATTTTAGTACATCAAAACGTATCGAATGCAACAATTTACCGGATAACCACTTACCTTGTCGTATTCACTTACCGGATAAGACTCTACACCATTCTCATCGCTCATATCCGGTAAGATTCTTGACCCTTGTCATGTTCATCCGATAAGACAATTTATTCGGTAAGCACTTACTAAGCAAACGTTTAGTAAACGGCGGATAAGTTTGTCATTAAAATAGTGAAATTTATACCGTTGAATTAAAATAAAATATAATTATAAAAATAGTGATAAAAAGGTTATCACTTCCTCACGCACTTCAACTTCAAGTTGAAGGGGAGAACGCTATCTCATCTACAATTCTACATTATTGAATTGAAAGAATTATATTTTGGGCCCCTTTAAAATTCACTCTATTAACATAAATGGCCCAGTTACAGTTACATTTGTTAAACGGTTCAAGAGTCATTAAATTGAATACAAAGCAATTGGTTTGGTTCATTATTCCAAATCAATCTAATTATTTGTTTTTCTTAATTATTAGTATAACTTTGTCCTGAAACATGAAAGTTGATGGATGACACAACAATGACTTAAAGTAAAGGTTATTTTGATTAAATTATGCGGCTGTTTACTATACGCTTACTAGGTTAACTTATCTTATTGCGTAAGTATGATAAAGACCAAAAATTTTACTCGGTAAGAGGGATGAAATGACTAATAATCTTACTCGGTAAGTGAGAGAAAATACTCCTACTTGTTAAGCCTTTAGTAGGTCATACACTTACCAACAATCCATTTTAATGATCGAGAATGTTACCTGATAAAATATGTGAGAGTAATGACTCTTACCGGTCTGATAAGTATTTGGTACACGACCCCTCTATGTCTATATAAAAGCGCAGATTCACAAAAAGGACGACCTTTATGTCATTTTGAAACGTTTGAGGATGTTTACAGATATTCATTCAAAGTTAAGGGGCTTAATTTGAGTAATCACTGTATATAACTAGCTAGCTAGCCATTCGTCCACGGAAAACATTTTCCCCCCAAATTGAGCAGATAAGTTAAAAAAAAATGGACAAGTCGTCGCCGGAAAGTTTGATCGTCGTCAAGAAAGACCACGACGGGATAGCTTACGTGACGATCAATCGCCCAAAGTCCTTGAATTCGTTGACGAAGCCAATGATGACTGATCTGGCGCGTGCATTCAAGTCCCTTGACTCCGATGAATCCGTCGGCGCCATCATACTGTCCGGGTCGGGTCGATCTTTTTGTTCGGGTGTGGACCTGACGTCGGCGGAGGATGTTTTCAAAGGAGACGTGAAGGATGTAGAGGCCGATCCGGTTGCTCAGATGGAGCGGTGCCGTAAGCCGATCATAGGGGCGATTTCAGGGTTTGCTATTACGGCGGGGTTCGAGATCTCGCTTGCTTGTGATATATTAGTTGCTTCTAAAGATGCGAAATTCATCGATACACATGCCAGGTTTGTTTTCCCTTGGCTTGATTTTCTATAAGCTGTCAGTATAGCTTTAATTTGTGTTATTTACAAGTTTATTATGCCAAACTTGCTTTACAACCCTAATAGTGGCTGTGATCTGTCTCTAACTTAATCCAAATTATGCAAACGTTTATCAACTCAAGTCGAGTGGAGCTTTAAGTATTTTCGAGATTTGAGTCGAATCAAGTAGAGCTAGACCGAGTTTGAGGATTAATTTCAAGTAGTATTCAGTTGAACTGGTCTACTAAGTTTGAGATTCAATATGGCGTGGTGTTATGTCTTTGAACCGAGGTCAAGCTGAGTATAGTATTTTACTTTCTTGATAATTACTTCCTGCAGTGACTTGTTTTACTAGTTTTAGTTTCAGAAAGCATATATAATGTCTAAATTCTTTTTCTCAATGGGGCTAATTAGCTTGTAAAGACGTTATTCTTACGCTAACTTGTAATCAATACTTCGAATTGACATTTACTTGAAATTGATCAAAATTTAGACCAACTTTTTTTTCTTTTGATGTTCAATATGAAGTTCTGGTGTGGGTATTGAATTTCCTGAAAAACCCTAAAGAATTCATATCAAGTTTGATCTTGGGATTGCTGTTTGACCTTGAAGTTATTTCACATTTTTTTTGGAGAGAACTTGATTGTTTCAATTGCAATTTGTTCGACATTCTTCTTGTGCAATGAAGGCAAAGTTGGATTGGATAGCATGTTGACATTTATGTAAAATTTTTGAATCGAGAAACAAATAACATCCGTGTGTTAGCATACTTATTAATTTTTTCTGGAGAAGGCAAGGAGGAAGGGGATTTGACTGATGACCTCTATAACCACTCAAGGGATAAGATCAAACACCAGCGAACTAAATATTTGATGGTATACTTTTAATGTTGTTCTGTGGAATATGCCTTTTGTTTTCCTTAATTTGTTTCTAGTTAAGGGGATAGGGGGAGGAGTAGGCTTTGATAAGTTTTAGAAAGGCAGCATGCTTTGACACAAAATTATAGAACACAAAAGGTAATTTGTGCAATTTTAATTGATGAAAGGACAATTTAAATCTGATTGCAGGTTTGGGATATTTCCTTCATGGGGTCTCTCTCAAAAGCTTTCTCGTATAATAGGACCCAACAAAGCTCGAGAGGTGTCTCTAACAGCCAGCCCGTTAACTGCAGAGGATGCGGAGAAGTGGGGATTGGTGAACCATGTGGTTGAAGGTAGTGAATTGTTAAAGAAAGCCCGTGAAGTTGCAGAGGCCATCATGAAAAATAATCGAGATTTGGTGTTGAGGTACAAAGCAGTTATAAATGATGGTTGCAAGCTAGATCTGCATCATGCTCTTTTGCTAGAGAAGGTATGGTGACTAACACAATCCATTTATGCTTTAAGCACCAATTGCACATTTCACATAAGAGAAGATGTGCCTTGCTTCATGTGCATTCTTTTATGAGTAAGAGAATGAATTGAAGTCACTTGCTACTAAATAAGATTGCTGATGGTACAATGTACTTTTGTACAAAGTCACTTCTCAATTCGTATTTGGTATASGAAAGTGCGGAAGGCAAGCCCTTCTATCTGACTTTGGCTTCTAATCGGACCATAGTCCGTCCACAACCTCTGTTTCATTATATAGATTTTTTTCTTTCCTAATTTTAGTTTAGTTTCCTCATATCATATGATCAGCAGGCTTTACTATAATGGTTTCTAGCTCACCCTTAGGTGGTTGTACCTTAAGGGACATGATCAAAACCCGTTTCCCTAAAGTTACCCCATGCATTTGGCCAAACTGGGAAGACGTAAAATCTTGAGACTAAAGAAGTCAAATTTTGTTGTTACCTAAATGATCTTCCTGTCTCATGAAAGATCCAGCATTTTGGTGTCTAGACAAAATTTCTAGCTACACTGATTTACTTGGCCATTGTCATCATTGCTATATGCCCTACGGGTAGATGAAAGTTCTTCGTTAATCCTACCCTTCCCGGACCCTATTTCTGAGTGGGATGTAGTGGGTACGTTTGTGGTCATTGCTATTCATTGTTGCTATAAGTTCCGGTCCACAAGCCTACCTAATGTTGTCATTATTAGACGACTTTTAAGACATTTGACTGATTGTCAAACAAGTTGATAAAACCATGTATCTAAGCAGGCTTCACAGTTTCGTAGGATGTTGGGGTTATTTGTCTTTGTATGGGAGATTTATGGTTTGTCTTGATCTTCTTTGGTGGTGATAAGACTTACTTTTGACTCTCAAACTTTTTACATAGGTGACCTTAAAAGGTAACATGCAACCCGTTTTCTTTCACACAATTAACTAGAAACATAAACACCTAACAATGAAAATCGCAAATCGCAATGCAATTATACATATATGTATGTATGTATGTATGTATAAAAATAGGTGATCAAAGGGTTGTTGCTTATGGTAAGGTGGTGTTTGTTTTTCTTGATAGGAGAGGGCTCATGAGTATTACAATGGAATGACAAAGGAGCAGTTCAAGAAAATGCAGGAATTTATAGCAAGTAGAAGCTCAAAAAAACCCGCTTCTAAGTTGTAGCCAAAGATTCCTTTTGGTTTTTCCGAAAGCAACAAACAATTCCCATATGTAGAATGAATGTGTTACGGTAATAAATAATATGATGTCAGCAAGTTGTTAATGGAACCAGAAAAACTTGAATCCATTTCCAACTTGTTATCGTAATGGACCAAGAATCAAAATTAATGATTTTAGTTCACATCAAAACTATAATTTTAAATGGATTAACAGTTTGTAGGGAAGGTATAGATGTATTGTAACAAGTCTTCCCAGATGCAGATGGATGGGTAAAAAATGAGATGGCAAACCAGTTGGATTTGAAATTGAAAAAAAGTGTTAAATTTTGTTTTTGTTGGAAGCAATGGACAGAGACAATTAATGAGATGCCAAAATACGACATGACATCCATCCAAGTCTAAACCAATATTAAAAATAAGAAATGAAGAATTGGCAGCTAAAACCTGAATGATGGGTAATGTTTGACCCTACATGTACAAATTATCACAACATCTTTCAACCTTGTATGGAGAGGGTTTTGAACATATAACTGTTTTTGGGTCCAATTATTTGCTTTCATGTTCATGTTCATATTATTTTAATTTTCATGTTTTCGGTTTATTACTACATTATGAATATCATAAAATAACTATCTATCATTTATTTCTTTTATTAATAAGATTGACTTAATTAATAAACACCAATATCCCAAAACAAGAGTCACATAATCTCAATTCTAGATGTTGCCAAGTAAAATTATTGATATATCCACGGTTTATAAATAAATGTGGCCTACAAAATGGTATCCATGGTATTGCAATTTATAATAATTTCATAACAGTTAAAATTACTTTAGTTTTTTTTTTTTATTACTGTTGCTACTATCTTACAAAATATTTATTGTTATATTTTTTCAAAATACAAGTATTTAAATATTATATGTATACAAAATCTTTTGGGTATTCATTCCTATTTTATAAATAATAATATAAATGCAAGCTTGAATGGTTTTTGAAAACTCTTCCGATGGACCTAATTTATTTATTTTTGCAATTATTTAAATAGAAAAGGTTAAGCATATGATTATTAATCAAATACGGTCGTTAAGATGATGGATTTTATGAGTCTTGTATCTTTTTAAGATGTCATGGACCCAAATTTTTACTTAAGCATTATAAAATATTCATTTATTATTATTAAGTGTTAAAATATTTAATAAACATTCATAACATTTTTCTTTGATCAAACTATGTTTATATAATTTTGTAGAGGGAGAATAGAAATTAAGACCATCTATTTAAAATAGAAAAAATTAGGGTTTTCTTTTCTATATTGCTCTAACAAATTTTGTATAGTATTTTCTAAAATAAAGATCACATGAAAAAACTTCAACTTCATGTTGGGTTGGGAGAGAGAAAAATAATTATTTTATTCAATTTCACCAATACGATTAAATTATTGTAATTTTGTATAGTTTTTTAAAAGTATACTGAGATGATAAATTATTATAATAATAGGATGTCTGCTAAAAAATCTCTAAAATAAAAAAATTATTGGAGTTAAATGTAATTCTTTTTAGAGATTTTAACTTTTGGTTCTCTACTTTTAGAAGGAAAAAAAAAATATATCGAGAACTTCTTGGAGATGCTCTAAAAATGAATTTGGACCGTTGGTCACTTTTAATCTCAAACCAACTCATTAGAAGATAATTGATTTGATATATCTCATTACACTTGATCCGATGTTTCTTTTCAATTAGGATTTGATCCGATAATGAAAATCCCATCTTACCGTAAATTTCATTTGCACGGGAACCCAAGAGCATATCCAACAAATTCTATAAGATAGAGAAAATAAATATTTTGTTATCTATTTTGTTCCAACCGATTCTTTGAAATAGAAAATATAAGAAAAAATTCCAAATTTATAGAATGCTCTAGAACTTGATGAGAGGTAAGAAATTTTTTTCAATTCATTTTTCACCAATAAAATAAAGTATAATTATTTTATATAAATTTTAAAAAGAAAAGTAAAATGTGATGATAAAACCATATAATATTTTAATACTGTAATTAATCTTTTAAAATAAAAAATCTGTTAAAATAAACTGTAATTCTATTTAGGAGTTTGAACTTTTAATTCGATACTAACCTTACAATTGATTGCATCTCTATATTATTAGAGACAAGAAATAGCGTAAATAATAATAATAATAATAATAATAATAATAATAATAATAATAATAATAATAATAATAATAATAGAGTCTTTTTAAATACAACAACAAATATTTTACAGCTTGTAATTTTTTGTGAAAAAGAAAAAACAGGAATGCTCCTCAAGTTTGATAAATTTACAAATACAACCCTTTCAATTGTAATATATGACGACGAAGTCCCCGTGATTCCTTCCACGTGCGAGGAAGAGAATTAATGGTCGTGTGTAAAAAAACGCGTAAACAGGAAATCAGAAAGAAGGAGAAACATTGAAAGTAACACCCAACAAAAAGCTTCCCTACGCCAACTTCTCCCCAACGGAATTGAATCAATTCAACACATTCTTGTTCCTCCACCACCCAACACCCCCCTCCTCCCCTTAGGGTTCCACCTTCTCCTTCATAAAATCCATTTCGATTTCAATTCAATCAAGATTCACACCACAATCTAACAAGTTTCCCCAACAGGGAAAGCAAAACCGAAGGCGCCCATCTTTTGATTTCTCTCATTTTCCCAGATTTGAACAAGAATCAAGAATCTGTTCTTCGTAGATTTGAATTAATTTCAAAAATAAAAGATAAGCGCCCATGCTTTGATTTGGGTGTTGTTGATTTTCCTGAGTTGTATGATTTTTGTTTATGCTTTCTATTTGGGCGTTTTTTATACAGCTTACTTCTCAAGATTTCGGGTAACCTAAAAGATTGTTGTTTATTTATTTATTTATAGAAATTCAAGATTTTCTTGGAGAAAACCTATTTTGGTACTTTGTTGATTATGGTAGAATTGCATTATTTTGGGGTTTGATTTTTGGGGGATTTTGTGCAAGAAATGTGGGATGTTAGAAGGGTTGATGAATCTGCTTTCTGTGTGTTGGAAGCCATTCATTAAGGGTGACAGTAGCGAAACTGGTGCTGCTGTTGGTGTTAATGGTAATTATAATGGCGATGGCGATGACTTTGAAAAGGATGGGCTTTTATGGTTTCGGGATATTGGGAAATATGGCAGCGGTGAGTACTCGATGGCCGTTGTTCAGGCGAACCAGGTGCTCGAAGACCAGAGCCAGATCGAGTCTGGTTCTTTCGGAACATTTGTTGGGGTCTATGATGGTCATGGAGGACCTGATGTGGCTCGATACGTTTGTGATAATTTATTCAGGAATTTTCAAGGTTTGTTGCTTTTCGATCTAATTAATTTCGTTTTCATTATATGTTTATAGTGTAGTATATGATTCTACAATATGGATTGTTATGGACATTGATGTTTTATGATTACAAAGGAATGTTTAGGTGTAATGACTTTGGAGTTGGGATGAGTTTGTTTTTCAATTCTTTATGTGTCTAAATAGGAATACTATTTATCAAATTGGTTCTAGATTAGATTATATTATCGACATCCAAGATGTTATTAATGAGACCAAAATTACTTACCTATTTCGTAGGAGGAGCTTAAGTTTGATTGATTGAACCCGAAAGTGAGTTCATTTTCCATCTAAAAATATATGAATGATTCAAATTGGTTTGGAGGAGTGTTTTGGTTGATTGATATCATGGTGTTTGTTTTGATGTAACCTATCTAGTGGTAAAAAAGCCGAATCTAAGATATGTAAATGCAAGATTCTCTTTTTGGGTAAGGTTTTGAATCAAAATAGAATTATTTGCTCGCTCATTAGTAACCGTTACAAAAGATTGATATAATTGATTTAGTGTTGCAAGATTCCTCTATATAGTAATTTTTTAAAGGGTATATTTTTTCTTAGATATTTACCAACAGGAAACATTTATTAAATCATATGTCAAGTTGGAAAGGAGTATCGGCTTAATAGGTGACTTTCTTTATTAGATTCTACACTTCCTGAAGTTGGAAACATTTATTAAATCACATTAAATTTTCTTTATTGGATTCTACAAATTGTTAGCGGTGTTGTGATGAGGGGTGTTACTTCAAGTGGAATTGTCTTCTAAAAGGGATAGGGTTGAGAAACTAAGTTAACATGACAATCTAGTGAACCTTGGGGTTTGACGTCCGGTTTTACTACATGGGTTTGAGAGTGAAAAAAGAAAAGATTCTTATGTCATTGTTCTTAGGTTTGGTGTTTATGCAGCAATATCTGCCGAGGATTATGGTGTCGTAACCCCAGAGACTATAAGAAACACGTTTCTTGAAACGGAAAATGGATTCACTGCTGTAGTATCCGAGTTGTTTAATGTACGACCAAGCATAGCAACCGTTGGATCATGTTGCTTGGTTGGAGTAATATATCAGCAGACTCTTTTTATTGCAAATCTTGGAGATTCCCGTGTTGTGCTTGGTAAGAAAGTCGGTAACACTGGAGGTATGGCGGCCATACAATTGTCATCGGAGCATAATGCCAATCTTGAGGAGGTTAGACACGAGCTAAAAAGTTTACACCCACATGATCCACAAATCGTTGCCTTGAAGCATGGAGTTTGGAGGGTCAAAGGCATTATTCAGGTTATTCCTAATGTTTTTTTTGGAATTAAATTATCATTGCAACTTTCCTCATAATAATCTTCTAAATGTCTTCGTGGTCCTTGATAGAAATTGGATGGTCAATTTGATTACTCTAAGTGAGTTCTTGATGAACCGATCCATTGGAGTTGTATGAACTTTTTAAACCATTGGTGTTTGAGAACTTCTGGACCACATATATATATATATATATATATATATATATATATATATATATACACATACTGGTGTAAACTAATGTATAATTGCAACCCCCTCCCCTGGGACCAGAATATTAAGCTTTTCTATCTGAATTTTATATGGTATCCTCGTATTGGATGCACATTAACCTTGTCCAACATGTAGGACCATTTAACTATTTTATTTTGTGGTTCCCATTTACATTATGTGACAATAAATAAAGATGTGAACATGGGTCCTATCTGTTGTGAAAAGAAATGAAAGCAGGACCCGCAAAATGAAGCGTAGAGATGGTTAAACTTTGACCATTCGGCCATTGTTGCCCATATAGTTGGTTACAGACTTAGGGCCTTTGGATGCACCTTTTCTACATTTTACTCGTTTCTTTGAGGTTTCAATCTAAGTTTTTGCCTTCGTAGGATGAATCAATAAACCCTGTGAAATTATGAAAAAAGTAGCTCATTTTAGCTGAAGCATGATTGTTTTCAAGGAGTGAATTAGGAGACATATGATGATTTTGTTTTTCATTTTCAGATTTTGATCCAATGGGTTCTATTATTTGGAATCATATAGATGATGTTCTTTGGTCCATAATAGTGTACTTGAATAATTGTATGTGGTGCAGGTTTCAAGATCCATTGGGGATGTTTATATGAAACATTCAGAGTACAATACTGACCAAATTGCACCAAAATTCCGGCTTCCTGAAGAAGTGGTTATGCCTATCTTGTCGGCCACTCCATCAATCCTTACTCATGCTATCCAGCCAAGCGATTCTTTTCTTATATTTGCTTCTGACGGTTTATGGGAACATTTGAGTAACGAAGAAGCTGTGGAGATCGTTCACAATAATCCACGTGCCGTAAGACATCCTTGTCTTTCTTATTTCTATTTTTATTTTCACCTTCTATAGTCATGCTCTTTCCATTTTGGGGTATCACTTGTTTAAATGCATTTGACTGAAAACCGTTACATATATGGTTGTGTTTTTGATCACACGGTGTATGTGGTCTCTCTTTAGTAGAGAAGTAATTCACATATCTTAATATCTTGCTTGTGTATCATGCTAATTTTGAATTATGGTTGGTGTAATTATAAGATTCCTAGTCATTACTCTCTCTCTCTCTCTATATATATATATGTGTGTGTGTGTGTGTGTATCAATATACACACACATGCATACATACATACATACATACACTACTAATAACGCCTATGCGCTGCCAATAAGGTCTACTTGACTTGCATATGTTTTACTACCCCCCACACTATGGAACTCATGCCCATGTCTAAACGCATGACTGTTTCCTCTATCTCATAGTGACTTGGATACATTATTCAAAGAAAAGGCAAAGCGTAAAAAAGAACAAGCAAGGGCAAATGTGTCATTTGTCTATTTGTGCACGCTAACAATGAGGAAAGGTTTGTTAAATAACATAATCTATGTGCAAGATGCCTTGATTACTATCTATGTTATACATATATCATATATTCCTTTGTTCGAATATGAGTAATGGCATTCTAGGTCTCTAGATAAGTCTTTGTATACTGCTTTTCCGTTGCATATTGCAAAGAGTTTGTTTCTGTGACACGAACACATGAAGCAAATTTACCAAATGCTCTACATATGGTTTGCCTCGGTTTTGGTGGGCTTATCGATATGGTATTCGTGCTTGCTTTGACTTTTTAGCCAGCTTATTTTCGGTGTCGAGATATGACACTGGTAGCTTTTGAGTTTCTAGAAAGAAAAAACCCCGTAGCAGCTACATTTTATCAAGTATAAGTAGTATAAACAGAAAAGAATTGGTGTTAAATTGTTATTAGACTACAATAATATTTTATAATTCTGGGAAATATGTGTTTTGACTTTCAAAGTACAAGTAAGGGCCCGTTTTTTAGCAGCTTAATAATCTTAATGGGACATTGGGACTCGCAGCTTGTGCGGTCAGCTATACATGACTGTTTGGTAGTGGTTTAATGGTATAGAAAGTGGCTTATTTAGTAAACTTTTATGAGGGAGCTTTATGTAGAAAGCCAAGTTTTTTCCAAACCTACACCTCCCAATTAAAAAACACGCATCCATATATGAAAAACTCTCTCAAACAAAAACTTTCCCATTCTATAAGCTTTATCCACACATGACTTAGCGGAAAACCAACCAAACAGCCTCTAAGACAAGCAGTGGAGGACAAAGGGGTAAAGAGATACTATGTTGGTTACATTTTATACAACTAGTTATGCATGGGTACAACCTACGAAGCATGATAAACCACAAATATCATATGTACTTGCTAATGCTCATGGGTAGAATTGCTTAGTATCTTTTTTATGTGGATCTGGGCTTGGTCGGTTTCTTTCTAGTGGTACAACTAGTTGTGCATGAGGTGCAAACCAGTAAAGCATAAATTTTTGATGTCTATTATATATGATCTATCTGTAATGCTGTAAATGCTAATGTCATATGCATTTTCGGGCTTGGTCTATGTTTCATTTTTTTGTACAACTAGGTCTGCATGAAGTACAACCAAAGAAGTACATGCCTATTAATAATTATGTGTAAATCTCTCTTTTTTCTGTAAATGCTAATGTTATATGTTTCATCCTTGGGGCATGTTTGTTAGCAGCTTAATGGGACTCAACTTATTTGATCAGTTATACATGACTGTTTGGTAGTGACTTAATGATATAGAAAGTGGCTTATTCAGTAAGCTTCCAGGGAGGAGCTTTATACAGAAAGCCAAGTTTTTTCCAAACTCTCCCCTCCCAATTAAAGAACACGCTCATTCCATCTATGAAAAAACCCTCCCAATCTATAAAGATAGATTAATCCACACAAACAGTTTTATCCATACAGGACTTAATGGAAAACCAACCAAACAGCCCCTTGATTGCCTCTTCTACAAACTAAGGTACCACAAAGCACAACTTGTGGTATTTATCTGTAAGTAAATGTACAAATGTATATCTGTGTTTACAACTGGTTCTGCATAAGGTACAACCTGCAAAACAGAAGTCACCTGCAATGCACATGGCTCAGGTATGTGTCTATGCTTGGTTTGTGTTTCATCTTCAGTTAGCTTTGTACAACTAGTTCTGAACATGGTACAAACCTTCAAAGTAAAGTACAACTTGTATATGTTTCGCATCATGTTTGTTTTTATGTATTATATCTGGGATTGGTCTTGGTTAGCAACTAGTTCTGTTTGAGGTACAACCTTTGAAGCATGATAAAAACTGTACATGTGATTTCTTTGGTACAACTAGTTGTGCATGTCGTACAGCAAGTTGTATATGTGCCTGCAAATGCTGATTGTGTATATATGGATGGTTTCAGGGGATAGCCAAGAGGCTAGTGAAAGCTGCTCTACACGAAGCTGCAAAGAAACGAGAAATGCGATATTCTGATCTGCGTAAGATCGACAAGCGGGTGCGGCGACATTTTCACGATGATATAACTGTAATTGTATTGTTTCTAAACTATGATCAGATATCCAGAGGCTCGGCTAATGGTCCTAACGTCTCTGTTCGAAGTGCATTGGAACACTAAGAGTTTCTCGTCATCTGTCTGTCGATATAGAGTTTGATTTTATCAACGAGGCTACGAGTTGGAAAAAAAACAAAAGAAAAAAAACAAAACAAACATTGGGGAATTGGATGTTGAATCATAAGTTCTTTGTAATATCATTACCATGATGTTATCATCTTACTAGTACCTACTATATTACTACTACTACTACTACTATAACCATTCATAAATCTATTAATTTTCCCATTCATTTCTCTATTTTTGTTCCCAATAACATTACTCTTTTTGCTTGCATGTAACCCAAATAAGTGTTGAATCTTTAACAGATTCTTATTTAATAAGTTGATTATGTTCAGAAGGGTAAGTTTATTTACAACCATTTGTTTTTTTAAATATTTCATGATATACATGTTCATATCATCACACTCTTATATTCATGGTGAATGATATTCATCGTAAATTCTATATAAAATAGATGGTTCATCATTTTATGTTCATGTTTTATCATCAAAGGATCAAATAAGTTGAGTAAACAACTAAACTAGCATGTATTCGGTATGTTTGATAAAAGAACTATGAAATATTTTAGTTGTTAATTTGACATGGGTTGTTTTTTTCAATTTTTGCACCAAACTCACCTTAAAAAAAAAAAAAAAATCCTTTCCAAAAAAAAAAAAAAAAAAAAAACAAACAAATAGATAAAATGAGTGGCTAATAATTGAATAAGATAATATGAAAACAACCAAATCATGTGCAAAACTATATATGATTTTTACATTGATGGTCAACGTAATGGTGAGCGGGGATGAGTCCATGACTTCATGTGGCGATCAAAGTTGCATGATTACATGTGATTTTAGTATAAAATTATATGTGATTTAACTGCTTTTTATTCTCTTATCTAGATATGTTTTGAATTATTATTTTAATAACAATTTTTGAAATATTAAACGGGTGTTAATGAAAATCAGTTGAATAAATAAAAATTTAAATGAATCCATTATATTATATAAAATTATTTAACATTTTCATTAGTCAATACTTAATACTTCTGGCCAAACAAACCCTAATTGTTTATATTTATAATAAGAAAAAACATTTTGAAAATTTACATTTTCTTCCCATTTTACCGAGCAACCCTCGGCGGTTACTTTGTTGCAAATTTTTTGGAGGCATTCATCCAACGAACACACTCTCAGTTTGCTTTTAACCGGTAAACCATCCCTGCGACGGGACGGAAGGGCAAAATCCTTCCGAAGCAAAACTAAGTTTGTTGCATGAATCTGAAAGATAATTAGGGTTGAAATAGAGGTTTACTGCTCATAAATGTCGTCGACTCGAAGCACCTTATTATGTGTTTTTCTAGTCCTCATACTGAAATACTCAGAATCAGCGACGCCTCAAGCTTACAGAAGAGATCCAGGACATCCTCAATGGCACCACAGTGCTTTTCAAGACGTCAGAGACAGTGTCCGATCTGATGTTCATCGTATGCTCCATTCACGGGCCGAGGTAAATTTGTTATTAAACAATGTCTTAGTACTTTTTCATGCAATTATCCTGTCTCCAACCAAGCAGAGTGAATCGATTGATTTTGGTTCTAACTACTGATCGTGATTACTAAGTACACGGTTAATAGATTGATTATGTAGGATTATCTATATTTCAATTTATCCATCTAAATTTCATGTGCCTTCTTCAGTTTTTTTTTATTTTTAGCAGATTTTCAATGGATCAATGGATTAAAGTGAAGTTTGTTGATGGTCAGCATGAATCCGTGATCTAAGTATATAGAGAGAATATAAGTTACTGGAGTAAATCTACGTCATGACATTTTGCTCTCCTGGAGAAGAGAGTGAGAGTGGGTGGAAGAGAGAAAGTTTGCATGTTATAAGAGGTTTTTTCCACTAAAACGACGATGATAACTTTGATTGCAATTTTGGCAGCAGGCATAGATTAACTGAATTCCTTGAGAAGGATAATCGCATTGATGACTTGGTCAGCAGAAAATCTTAGGGTCTATATGTTTGCAACAATTCTCTTTTCTGTTTTACACCAAAAAGGTTCCTGTTGCCCACTTTATTTAGGAAAAACTGAGGGACAAACTACATAGGAGGTACACAAAATGTCATATAAAAATACAATGTTGGCTTTTTTTTTTCTTTTCCATACAGGCATTGATGTTATCTCTCTTACATCTGTGAAAATGACCGAGTACATGAGACTAGAAACCAAATAACTTGGAAAACTAGCTTGTATTCTTATAAGGGCAATGGAGCCTCACTCCTAGGGTGAGGTCCCAAGTTCAATTCTAAGAACCTCTCCTCAGATGCAAGTTTCACTGAGAAAAGAATGTGTATTTAGGCTTCAACATCAAAGATACTGAAACGGATTGTTTTCTTATTCTTGATGTTTCCCATTTTAAAATCAAATCAATGAAACCTAGCATATCCACTCGAAGGTAGGGTCTTTGTGGGGGAGGGGGGAGGGGGGTGGATGTACGCAAATATGTCCTCTATCCAGACCTCTGGGTTGTGAAAAAATGTGAGCGAAAAGATAAGAAGAACTAAGACTAATAAATAGTAAGCAACGGAAGAAACAAAATAGGAGTTGGCACACTGAAACACTAGAGAATGTAAGGGAAAACACACATCCTTCTATCTGTCATAGTACTCAAGTAACCTATTTGCCAACTCTCTAATCCTCCCCCCGTCGCACTCTCAGCCTCTCTAACTCCCTTCTTCCCGTAACCTAGTCTACTACCCTAGTCCTGCGTCTCAAAGAACCCTTATCAGAGATCATGTCCTAGGAAATGCCTAAGGTCGTCATGTCCATCCTTAGCTACTCATCCCATGTCCTCCTCAGCCAACCCCTCTTCTTCCCCATCTAGACCGTAAGCTTTCTACTCTGTTCACCGGTGCTGCCACCGGTCTTCTGTGAATGTGTTCAAACCACTGCAATCTTCCCTCTGTTAGTTTTTTTAGTAATAGGCACAACTGCCAACTCCCCCATAAGACGTCGTTCGGTATCTTGAGTAACATCGTCCGACCGTAGGTCCACATAAGCATCCTCACTTCGGCTTTTAACTTCCTCTTATGGACCTTCCTTGTCGCCCAACACTCCCACTCATGCAACAAGTTGGTCTAATGGCTACCCTGTAGAATTTGCCTTTCAGTTTTAGAGGGACCTTGTCACATTGCACCCCCGTGAAAACCCCCACTTTAGCCACTTTGTCTTTATGCGACACCTTGGATCATCCTCAACCTCTCCTTTTGTCTGGATCATGGAGCCTAAATCCTTGAGCCTGTCCTTTTCGGATACCTTTTACCCTTCAGTTTCTTTTTGTGCTTTCTACTATAACTATGGTTGTGCTGTCTTTGTGGGTGTAGAATTATGAGTAACTGCATCCTCCATCAGTTTCAGTTTCTTATTATAGATTTTGAATTCAATGTCTCTAATACTATGATGTAATTTCATGCAGGTTCCCTTCCAAGTCCCACTTGAAGTAAATGTTATCCTCATCGGTTTCAGTGGAGATGGGGGCTATAGATACACACTAGATTCCCAAAAATTGCAAGAGTTTCTTCAAGTTGGCTTTCCTTCTCACAGGCCCTCGTGTTTGGAGACAGGCGAGCCCCTTGATATTGACCATCACATGGTGTTTAATGCAATTCCAGTAAGCTATTTCTGCATAATTGCTTTTAGAGATTCTTATCCGCAGTTCTCAATTGCTTACTTTGTAAACGTTTTGTACTTTCGCATTCCACTCAGATTGTATGAGATATGCAGAAATTATTTTTTTGGTTACTTCAACAGCAGCTCTTTAGAATTAGTTTCTCTTAATCTTGATTAAGACTTAATTCTTAGAAGCTTTAGTAGGATTGTCTCCACCTTCGGTCTGAATCTGAATGCTTTGACACTATTTGGAATTTGACTTCATGTCATTATGTTCCAAAGAAACACCTTATAAGTCCTAAATTTTAGTATCCGTTATTATCTAGTATTTAGGCATTGTATGAGAGGACTGTTTCTGTGGCTATGATAAATCATATTGAGATGCATTTTTCTTTTAACTTGTATGTCAAGAGGATAGGTGAAAACTGGATTATTAACATCTTCACCGTTTTAGTCTTATTGTGGTCCTCATCATTGCACTTTTCTTTCTACTGCTGCTAAGAGGCTGCTCAGCCAGAAGTGATAGCATTAGAAAAGGCTCTGAAAGCAGCCATGGTTCCTGCTGGTACCGCCAGAGAGGTAAGTCAATTGTTTATTTTGTTGGACTTTATAGTTATGCTCAATATTAATTTCTATCTTGCTTGTTTTTCCCATAGGCTGATTTTGGAAGACTAGTGCCAGCATTTGAGGTCAATGCAGCAGATGTCGAGCCCGAATTTCAGAAGCTATACTCCTACCTGTTTTACTTTGAGAATATAGGATATTCTGCCGAAGAGATTGACAGACCCATGCCAACTGCAATATTTATTGTGAATTTTGATAAAGTATGGATTACGATCCCTGTATTTTATTTTATTGTTAATTTGTATCCACTATTTACATTATAGAGCTTCGTTGTAGCTTCCCTCATCTTATATTGGGTCTCATATTATTCCCGTATTTTTTTTGGAACAAATTTTATGCCTTTTAGTTATGACATGAAGGCACAACACTTCTTAAAAGATATGTCTTGGCTAGAAGCTTGAGCCTCTAGGAGAATGAAACAAATCAGTTGGGGATATGTCTTGGCTAGAAGCTTGAGCCTCTAGGAGAATGAAACAAATCAGTTGGGGAATTCTTAATGTCCATGTCCTTTGTGACTCTTTGTTTTATTGATCTGACCTATTTTGCCATGCTTGGTTTTTGTTTTACAGGTTAGAATGGATCCTAGGAATAAGAATATTGATCTTGATAGTTTAATGTATGAAAGGCTTGGTCAGTTAACTGAAGAAGATATCAAGAAACAAGAGGGAGGTTACATTTATCGATATCGTTACAATGGAGGAGGAGCATCTCAAGTTTGGCTTGGTTCTGGGAGGTACATTTTACTCGAATTCAGATGTAATTCTGGGCTTGACAAGCTGCCATAGATTTTCAGGAGTCAATTTCTTCTTATGTTCTTCAATGTCACAATTATTTCATCTAGATCTGAAATCACAGGTTTATCTTGCATAAAGGCTAATGGCATTGCTTACCCCCTGCAATTACCCACACCACATTGAGAGAGAAAGAAGGGGGGGGGGGGGGAGATAGAGAGAGACGTCTCTGGTTGAAATTTTCTTGAATGTGGTTTATGTTTCTTCCAATTTCAAGTTTTAACCATTTTTCATTTGCAAGGAATAAAATGGTTATGAATCTGTTATTGCATGGATGAACTCATAAGGTTACTCCTCTGTCATCGGAAGGTCACATGTTCAAGTCACTAAAAACAATGCAGGAAGAGCTGCATACAAGAACTTCCCTTTCCAACCCTTTGTTGTACACGTCGTATCTTAGGCTAGTTACGTGTCATGGGATCATAAATATCATTAATGGTTGTGATTGCTCATCAGTTTTTTTCCTAATGTTTAGTCATTACTAGAATTATTATTCTTGATATAATGTAAATTTTAGTACATAGTTAACTCATTTCAGTAATTATCAATACATGCACTTTTCCTTTGAACTCAACAAAGATATTTTACAATCCTTAAAATATACTCTTTCCAACGACACCGATATTGATATTGTTGTTTCTTACTTCAATATACTGCTTTTGTAATAAGAATCATGTTAGGTACTTGTTTCCATTTTCAAAAAATATGACTATGATAGTTCAATGTTCCTTGAAGTATTTTTGATCCCACTGATTCAAACGACACCACCTAACTTTTTATCTTTATATCTGCTGTCTCATTGTTTCATATATTCCTTGAATATGGGTGTCACATTCTGTCTGCCAAACTAGGAGGATAACCTACTTGTACTTTTTCAAATGAGTTGGATTTACCTTTGTGTCTGCTTTCATTATATATTCAGGTTTGTCGTAGTTGATATCTCAGCAGGCCCATGCACATACGGGAAACTTGAAACTGAAGAAGGGAGTGTTAGTTCAAGGACCATACCCCGCTTGCAGAATGTGATGTTGCGTCAAGGCTCTACAGCTGCTAATCAATTTACCACACATGACAACTTTGTGGGTCAGCTTGCTGCTTTGATTAGGATCACAGTTGAGCATCTTGTTGCTCCGGATGTCAGGTCTATTGATTCTTTGTTATATGTGACGACTTGTATATGTTCAGTACTTGATTATATATATTAATACTTACTAGGATCTCTCTACAAAATCATTCATTATATATACCTTCCAAATATATCATGGTGGACTTGCACATATCAACGAAATAATTTTGTGAATTATTTGGTGGATTCAGGTTTGAAACTGTAGATCTAGCAATGAGGTTGCTTATACCAATAATTGTCCTACAAAATCACAATCGCTATAATATCATGGAAAAGGGTCATACCTACAGTATCAATGTTGATGCAATTGAGGCTGAGGTGAGTTTTTCCTCTGGGAAATTATTTGATTTATTATGTGTTTTTCCTACAACTTAGAAACAGTGGTGTGCCCCTTCCTTTCTATGAGTAAGCGTAGGATGGTGATGGAGAATCAAGCACCTTATTAGATCTCAAAATCCATGATCGAGAGAAAACAATATTACTAATAACTAAAATAACTTGCTGCTAATGCCTAACTAACTTCAGTCATGGACTACGGTCTTTAATACTCCCACTCAAGGTGGCTTCAAAATGTCTTTGAGAGCCATCTTGGACAGGATAAGTGACAGTTGTGCAAAGGGAAGAGGCTTAGTAATAGTGTCAGCGAACTGATACTGAGATTGAATAGGCATCTGTTTTAGAAGTCTGGAAATCACTTTTTCATGAACAGATGACAATTAATGTCATTATGTTTTGTGCTTTCGTGAAAAGTGGGATTTGAAGCAATGTGAATGACAACTTAGGAGGTGTTTGGTTAGAGGTATTAATCAGTAATTAATGGGAATGAAAATAAAAGAAACTGTTTGCTGATTACTTAGCTGGATCTGAATGTTGCTTTATGCTTTCTTTCACTATTTTTCAGGTTAAGAACATGATACACAAGGGAGAAGAAGTAGTGATTGTCGGGGGTTCACATTTATTACATCTCCATGAGAAGTTGGCAATTGCTGTTTCAAAAGCTGTGCGTGGTCATTCCCTGCAGGAAACAAAAAAGGATGGACGTTTCCATGTGCATACAAAGATGTATCTGGATGGTGCCATCCTTAAAGAGGTGCCACTTCTTTCTTCAAAGGCTATATTGCTACTTTTTCAATTTAACTTACTGGCTTTGGTGTGTTGGATGAAGCCCGTCTGATCATTTTGTAAGTCTTATGACTCCTGTGCGTGATCATCTTTCAGTTGTTGACATAATTAGGTTTTCTAAATATGTCATTGCATCTTTTGCAAGACATATAAACTGTTTATAAGATTGTGAAACATTTTCTAACTTCAAATACTTTCTTCTACTGCTCCCCTCTTCTTGCTGTCTGGGAATATTGGCTGTCTTTTTGAGCAAGATGAATGATGAGGCCCATAGGAAACTTTTCAGAAACATCAACGCAACAAGCCTTATGCCACAAACTAGTTGGGTAGGCTATAAATAAAACCAATAAAAGTTATACATTGGTCAAAACCCTGGGGTACCGGGACAAGACCATTATCCTTCTAAGGCCAACTCCTATAGTGTCCACCCATTCAATTCTCCAATTCACTACTTTCCCCCTGGCCTCTGTCAGTCTTGGTGGACCACTACCTCTCCTAAAAACATTCTCTTGGTAGAAATCTCTTCTGTACAGATCCATTTGAAGGTCTGTGTTGGAGATGTCCAAGCATCTGCATCTGAAACAGTGTTGGCTCATTTTCTCCAAAACTAGTCACCCAAACTTCTCTCTGTATCCTCATTTTTTAGTCAATTCCCCATTGTTTGGTAGCACATCCACTCTTATATTATCATTTCTACCTACATATCTTATGTACATGTTTTTCATGTGATCAAAAAAGCATCAATGAAGTTGAAGGATAATTTTATAGGATGGTGGTAAAAGAGGCATGCTATGATTTGAAGCGCAGAACGCAAACAATATGGCCCATCATTTTTTAAGTACTTGCTTGATCTTAAAATTATTATTGTAGGAAATGGAACGATCTGCTGATGTACTAGCTGCTGGGTTACTTGAGGTCTCTGACCCATCCCTTTCTGATAAATTTTTTCTCCGCCAGGTTAGTCTTAGTTATGCTAATTTATGCTTAACACACTTTTTGGAGTTAAACTGATTGATATGTACCCACCATCCTGTTTCTGTTTACTTGTTTATCAGCCTGTCGGTTTCTCTCTAGGTGTTTGTTTGTCCTGTTTCACTTTTATATCAAGATTTTTTTTTTCCACAGCAATGGATGGATGAGACAGATGGTCCGATTGATTCCATTTTGAAGCACAAACCTATTCAGGCTCATAACCCTAAAACTAGGGGGAAGAAAAATAAAGGAGTGCCAAAGAAACAAGGGGACTTGCACCGGACTTATGGAACTAGAGTGGTCCCTGTGTGAGTAAAACCATGTAGTTGTTATTTTTGGTTTTCTTAGCATCTTGTATTTTGTGTTAGGACTGGCAATCGGTAAACGGAAAAAGAAACATGCACCTAGTTTCTCTTTGTGGAGATTAACATGAGCATCTAAATTCCTTTCCCAAGAAGTATCATTCTCTTTTCTACGGTTTCTCTGGTCATTTTCTTCCTCTACAAATTAATAGGGTTGCATTCTACACATTCTAAAGGCATTTGTCTAACAACTTACTAAAAGTCATATGTAGGCATAAATTGCTGCACCTATAAATTTGTAAAACTCAAATCTTGTTTCTCAAGTTTGAGGACTGTATCCCTCACTCCTTACAGGTGATTTTGAGCATAAAGCAACCATATTGGACAACTTCAGTTCGGCCATTGCCTAAATAATGAAGATGTTAGCTACCCACCAGAAAATTCCTTTAATTTTCGTAATTATGTGCATAAATTTGTTAAAATATTGGTATAGGATACTCGCTCTTCTCTCACTTATGCTGACACTTGACTCAATACCCCTGAACCTTGGCAATGAGAATACTATTTGTATCTTGTTAGTAATGCATGGTCAGCCTTATTGTATACAGGACAAATTTGATGTGGTGTATTACAGGATTATCCGCCTGGTGTTTACTTCATTTATTCCTTTCGTATTCAAAACCAAAGGAATAAATTACTTTGAACTTGTATGCTGTATAGAAATATTAGTAAAGCAGTGTCTCCTTTTGCAGCTTTGTTTTATCATTAGCTGATGTGGATCCGCAACTTATGATGGAAGATGAAAGCCTTTTGTGGACAAGTAACGATGTTGTTATTGTACTTCAGCATCGAACTGAAAAAATACCTTTAAGGTATCTACATAAAATGCAATTAAAGTTACCATGTTAGTTGTTACAACGTTTCCTTTTCCTCGTTATGGGAATTCCTATCTACTCAATCATCATGCTTAGACTGATATTATCCCTCCTACTTTTTTTTTTTTACAAATATTGATATATGAGTACAAGTGAATATAAAACATAATGTTGTGTATCCATATTGACGATTTATGCGTCTTGGACATGTGGTGTTACTCTGTAGAGGCAACGTATTCTGCTTTTCTTGTTGGTCCTGTAAAATCATCATATTCTTATTCTGCTCCCAAAAAACGTGTACGTGGAGTGAGTACAGTGGACAAGCAGATTTGGTGAATATGTGGCCGGTTGTGGAGCGCTAGGACTGAAGATCTAGGGAAGAAGGTTGTGTAACATCGGTTGAACAGAAAATGGGGCAACACTGCTTTGGATAATCTGGTTATCTTCAATGAAGACCTTTGAATGCACCCTCTAGAACAGGGGACTTATACTAATCGGTCGTACAAGAGGTCAAGGTTGACCAGGAGTGACAGAGGTGAAGTAGTGAAGAGACATTTGCCTGACTGACACCATTAGGGTCCCATGGGATTGGTCGATGTGCACGCAGCTAGCCCGGACACCCACGGTTATAAAAAGGAAAAGTAGTGAAGAGAGATTTGAGTAAGTGGAATATACTAAAGGAATTAACACACTCAATGGGGACTTTCCATTTATGGATATCCAATGGTAGCGTAGTATAGACAGTAGCATGTCAAAATTTGACCAAACCACTTTCAAGTGAAACAGGTTCTCCCCTGGGGGTGAACCAAGAAATACAATGCAGGTCCTAGCACCCCAACTGAAGGGACCTCAGCTAATCGGCTGGCAAAGCAAAGAGTGTGAGCGCACTCGGTCCCCTGGGGTCTCATCGTGATCTTTTTGCCATCCACCGGTCAGGAAGCAAAACTACAACCTGTATGTTAGCCATGATATTCTGGACAGTAAGTTGGGCTTACATCCAGGGTACAGTGCAGTTTTCAATGGTGGCAAACTTAGAGGCCGTTTACCCAAACACTTACTTGGTAAGCATTTATCGGTAAGATTCAATAGTATCACTTACCTTACCGGGTAAGATTTTTACTCCATCAAAACGATATCGTATGCAACAATTTACCTAGTAAGCTAACTGGGTAAGAGTCGTCATCCTCACTTACCGGCAAAGACTCTTGGTCCTTGCCATTACTTTTACCGGGTAAGATTCTCAGTCCTTGCCATGTTCATCGATAAGATAATGTGACTTGGTATGCACTTACCGGGTAAGTGTTTGGTAAACGGCCCCTTAGTGTTTGTTCAAATGGCATTTGTAACAGACTGTTAGCTGTCCTTCCTATAAACTTTGAGCAGTTCTTTTTTGGCTTCAACTGTTGACCGTGTATATGTTAATATTTTCTATTCTGTTCCACCATTTTAAGTTTCTTTTCGACAACAGGCTTTGTTACTGTTGCTCTGTTCTGGAAATTTATATACCTTACTGCATTTGCGTTATCCTGATTGCTTAATTTCATCTAGAGCAGTGTGCACCCAGAGTTCCGGATCCACTGTTATATATTATTTTAGAAAGGTGTAATTCTGAATTTTATTTCTCCCGTGTTGGTCTTCATTGTTCAGTTATGTCTCCGAAACAGAGAGAATGCATGTTATTCCATCCCAAGTGCAGCGTCATATAGTGGCTGGACTAGCTTCTGCTGTGGGTGGATTGAGTGCACCATATGAGAGGGTTTCTCATATTCATGAAAGGCCTGTTGTGAATTGGCTCGTCGCAGCAGGTTGCCATCCATTTGGACCGTTCTCTAATGTTTCCAAGCTTAGTCAACTGCTTCAGGATGTTACATTGGTAATAGACATCAACTTTCTTCCTTTGTGCATATAAAATGAATATCACTAAAAAAATTTCTAGGAAAACTACAAATATTATGCCTTAACTATGCCCCTCCGCCCCCTCCAAAAAAAAAAAAAAACAAACAAATAGATATTGTGCTTAATTTAATTCTTGTAAGAAATATCCTTACCATCTGTGTTTTGATTTTTATTGTCAAACAAAAATCAAAACTCTGTTTTGATTTAACTCGGGTCGATTTCTCATCCTCCTGTTTGCCGACAGAGGAATACAATATATGCACGTGTGGATTCTGCTCTTCGTAGGATTCGAGAAATGTCGGAGGTAAATATTGTCTTCGTGGGCTTATGCTTGTTCCTTGTGCTTCTCCGCAAGATGCTTATTTAGTTTGATTGGTTGTAGTCTGTCGAAGCTTTTGCTGGGGAGTATCTGAGAACCCCTCTGGGTGAACCAGTGAAGGGTAAAAAGAACAAGACAACCACTGAACTTTGGCTGGAGAAATTCTACAAAAAGGAAACAAATTTGCCTGAACCGTTTCCTCATGAACTAGTCGAGCGACTTGAGACATACTTGGATGTGAGTTTTTCCATAACATATACTTCATACATGTAGTTTCACTAGTTACTCAACGATAACAAAAACTCAGCAGCCTCTTTTTATATATATATATAGGTGGAGGTTTAGAACCTTGTGATTTACGAGAATGCGAGAACAACCTAATAACCTCAAACTTTTTTAATTAATAAATTAACTTATATTAAATATAAATAAATTAATAAGGATAGTAATGTAATTAAATATTTTTTATAATTTTTATTTTATTTTAATTAGTCATAATTATCTTTTTTTTTTCCTGCACGTTCGTTTCCACTCTCTTCTTTCCTCTTTGTGATAATTGTGTGATTGTGTAACCATAACCTATAGAAACCATGATCAGTCAAGTGTAACCATAACCTATCGAAACCATGAGTAATCGTTGTGATAAATGTGTGATTGTCTAACCCTAACMGATCGAAACCATGATCAAATTGAGTGCACAAGTGATGTTATAATAGTGATATCACATGATTATCACACTCATATCACACCAAATCGTTTAGTGGATGTCGCYYGTAATCGTTGTGATAAATGTGTGATTGTCTAATTCTAACCTATCGAAACCATTAGTAATCGTTGTGATAAATTTGTGATTGTCTAACCCTAACCGATCGAAACCATGATCAAATCGAGTGCGCTGTTATGATAGTGATATCACATGATTATCACACTCATATCAAATCAAATCGGTAGTCGATTTTCTAAGTTAGCCCTAGCCGAGCGGAATCCTTGTGATAATTGTGTGATAATCACATGATTATCACACCAAATCGTGTTGATATAAGCGATAATGTGATAATCACATGATTATCACACCCATATCACATAATTATCACACCTATATCACACCCAAATCGTGTTGATATAAGCGATAATGTGATAATTNAATTATCACACCTATATCACACCCAAATCGTGTTGATATAAGCGATAATGTGATAATTATGTGATAATCACATGATTATCACACCCATATCACATGATTAACCGTTTATTAGATAATGATAATCATGATCGTGTGTAATCGTGTTAAAAGATTTTATGATATCATTTCCATTATTACCCTTCTATTTTTAATATTTTTGAATCTTTTTAAATTTCAATTTTAATTTTAAAAATCTTTTAATTTTATTTTTTATCACAATACGAGATTATTGGGTTGTTTTCGCATTCTCGTAAATCACAGGGGTTTTCGTTTGAACCTTTCCCTATATATATATATATATATATATATATATATATATA